TGTGTTTTTTAAATCCACTTCATCTAATAATTGAAAAAAATAATTGGCAGATTAATCAATTATTAAAATAATGGTTAGTTGCAGCCCTACTGATAAACTGTAATGTAACGATTGTGATGGTGTGATGGTGTATAATTATAGCATAGAAAACTGAAGCCTTTTCAATAATTTCTTCTTACTATATTTACCACATAATGTGTTGTACCACAGCAACAATATAATTACTACGACAGTTTAATTCAAGTAATTATCTAAGCTTCCAAACACTATAATATTTACTATAGTATTTTTTCATATAACGTAATAGCTTATACAGTATCTAACGCCTCGATGACAGACAAAAACATTTTAGTTCAGAAGAAAACTCAGCCCTCTTCATGATATAAAGATCATGCCTTGCAGATGTGGTTATTTGCTAATTATTTAAATCTCCTTTGGAATATGGTATAAATTGCAAAAGTTTGGACTTTCCTCTGTCTCCCATTCAGTTTTTTACCTCCTGCTCTCCATCTGAATTTCATGTGTCACTAGAACTCTGTTTAAAAACAACCTATTAAAATATTAATATTAAATTAAAGAAATGTATAAGTGATGCCTTATTATCAAAATGTAAACAGTAGAAATGTCACCACAAATTTGATCAATATTGAAAGAAATGATTTGGTGGTCTTTGCGGTCTTATTTTTGCAAGCGCGGTGAGCCATTGGTTACATTTTTGACGTTTTCCACTTAATAATTAACCAAACTAAATTTCCATCTGCTGGTCTGGGCCAATAAAATCCTCTCATGTGAATTAATGTCTTTTAATGGACGGGCTGTTGCACCGCTGACTGCCTGTGATGAAAGTTGTGTCTGACAGAGAAGTTTCAGCCTCTGTTCCTCCTTTGTTTCCATGGCTACAGATGTGGAAAGCTCCTAAAGGGTAGCTCGGGTGGTAAAGCTTTGAAATATCTGTTGCATGTATATTTGATTACTCTGTGACTGCTGTAGCTGAAGCTCTGCCTCAGCTCGCTCATACCTGCAGACTTTGATCTGAGCCTCGTATGCATCACGGCACCTCCCCTCGGGTTATTGGTTGCTACAGTAACCGTTATTGGGAGGTGATGGACAGTCTGGAGGCTGGAGACGTGATGGACTATGGATCCACCAGCCCCCACTCTCCATCTCACCCTGTGAATGTGAACGCTGGGATGAATTTCACAGCTAATGAGGCTCTACCCTCCCCGAGTGCTGGAGCTGTGTGTGGGTGCTAACCGAGGTATGCCGTTTGGCTCTTCTGTCCACAGCGACGAGTTTTCAGCTCTCTGACCTTTGAAGATCCTGTCGCCTCGGCTCATTATTAGGGCATAAACTACACCAAGCATTAGGGCAGCAGAAGACCCCACCGTAGGGCAATTAGTGGCTGAGCTTGCATGAATCCTGTTCTGTCGGAACTGACTGCTTATTCCTCTTTTTTAACCAGTTTCTTCTTCATCCTATTGTCACATGGATGTAAATAAATAAACAGGCTACTGCAGCAATGGGAAATACATAAAAGAAAAGGAAACATGTTTGTTGTGTTGTCTACACTTCACTTTTCTCTTGAGCTGGTCCTGATTTTAACAGCTGAAACGTTAGCATGCGTTTTGTGTATTCTAGGATTGATGGAAGGATTTATTTGGTGGACTTTAAGCATATTTTGGTGCAGTCTTCAAAAGGAGTATGAATGTTGAGCAAACCAAGAACAGGAATGTATGCTGAAAAAATGTCTGCAAAACTGTTGCAAACAATTTCTTTGTGTTAAATATAAACGATCACATTTAATTGAATTATATTCAACTTAATTTCACAGCCCAAATAAATTGCTTACAACTACTTAACGTAAAAAAAAAAAGTAAAACCAAGGAATCATCTTTGAATTTTTTTTCTCAGTATTGTTTGATCTTTTGGTTTATTTGTTGCAGAACCGAAAATGAGAAGGAATAAGGAAATAATGATAACCGTAAAGCTGCTCAACAAAACTATTTGAGTGATTACACGTAAATTAGTTTTCTGCCTCTTTACACCACCATCAAATTAATGCTTTTTGGTAATTGTACAATGGTAAAGGGAACACATTCATTCATTTTCCTTCGGCTTAGTCCCTTTTTTCATCAGAGATTGCCACAGTGGAATGAATCGCCAACATATGCAGCATATGTTTTACACAGCGGATGCCCTTCCAGTTGCAACCCAGCACTGGGAAACATCCATACATACTCATTCGCACACATACACTACGGCCCATTTAGTTCATTAAATTCACCTTGCATGTCTTTGGACTTGTGGGGGAAAATCTTAGCTGTATGCTTTTCAAGGTCTATAAGAAGTGTCATTCATGTCTTTTAAGGTGCACTCGAAAGACAATGGTCTGTGGTATCTTGTAATTTTGTATTTGGTTGTCAGGATGATGTAGGCGATGTAGGCCTGTAGTTATAATAATTTTTTACAATATAGTTATGATGATATTTATACATGATAGAATAGTTAGATAGTTGATAACTAATGCTAATTGTTTTAAATATGTTTTTGTAGTTCGGGCCCAAATAAATATCTGTTGCTGTTTTTAATCATTCATTTGATTGAAGATGTGAAAATTAGTGAATATTATCGATGCATCTATTGGGTAAAATTGCTGCTTTTTACTGTCATCTTATGTGTTTTTGGTCATTATGAATGCACTGTCACTTTAATTGAGCACAAGCAGTGTGGCAAATATTTTACTTGCTTTAGCGATGCTCACACCTGGCGATGACGCGATGCTTCTGCGTGCGATGTGAAAGCTCTAATTTGTTAACATGGACGCTGAAAAAACACGCTGCTCTGCTCATGCTTTCGGCGTAAAATAGGCTTCAAGCTGCGTATTTACTGCAGACAAGATGGCAAGAGTCCAGTGACAGATATTTGGCTGTCCACACTAAACATGACGCAACACAGCAGAGTACATTTAAATAAATAAATGTCATTTATTTAAATATTAGTCACTTTACTCCCAACAAAATGGTAAGAGTTATATTCTAATTACACATCAAACCTATTTATTAAAAGTACATGGGCCGAGAGTGACAGATGTGGTTTGTCACAGTTCTTACTTTCATTTTCAAACTGTTTGCTAATTATTTTATTTTTTTTAAGATCTGAGGTGAGCTTTTTGCAGCTGCTTTTAGGAGTATGGCAATTGATGTCACATTAAATGGTGTCCAAATTCACATCGGTACCATTTAATACTGAATAAAGCACATAATCTGTACCTGAGGTGATAACTGTCATTGTAGTTTATGCTGTTGTTTTGCAACAATGTCACGGAAATGGAAACTAGAATTTTTGAGCGCCACTGTTGCAGATGGACACTGTTAGTCTGGGTTCACACTAGCACTGTACGATTAATCAAATTAGACAAGTAATCACAATTTGAATGTTGCAGGTTAGCAAATGGCAAAAGGCTGAGATAGGATTTCTGAACAACACTATTTATAAACATACACATACTATTTATTTAGTAACATACTTGGTTTACGTTTCAACTTTTGTTACAACTTTTGTTCAACTGTTTTACATTTGTTGGTATTTTTGTATTCTGTATATCTTGTATATTTTGTATTTACTTGTTTTCATTCTTTAATTAAATAATTTCACAGATATGCAGCCGATAGCAAGTACCTGACTGTCCTCTCTGCGCGACAGGTTTACTAGTCAATTGAATAAGCACACTCTCTTCATATTTGTACCGTTAACATTACCCACTGCAGATTACACTTCAATTCAATTCAATTCAGCTTTATTTGTATAGCGCTTTTACAATGTAGATTGTGTCAAAGCAGCTTCACATAAATGGTCATAGTAACTGGAACAGTGTGGTTCAGTAACTGGAACAGTGTGGTTCAGGTTTTAGTGTTTAAGTTCAGTTCAGTTTAGCTCAGTTCAGTGTGATTTAATCATTACTGAGAGTTCAAACACTGAAGAGCCAATTCATCGATGCGTAGCTCTACCAATCCTGAACCATGCGAGGCAGTGGCGACAGCGGAGAGGGAAAAAAAACTTCACCTGATGGGAGTGAAGAAAAAAAACCTTGAGAGAACCAGACTCAGTTGGGCACGACCATTTTAATTAATTACACACTACAATAAGAACCACAAAGTATCTACCATTAGTTTTCTTTATAGTTATTATTTTTGTTAATGGGTATTTACTGTTTACCCAGAAACCCATTCAACCCTCACATTTCAGAATTAACCATTGTCAAGCCTTTTGCTACAATGACCTACTGTTTCCTCTATTGCTGTATCTGCAGTGCGGTGTATATATATATTATTTTTTCACTTTTCCCACTATGTACATTTTTTTTGTCCAGAAGGATGCAGGTCATTGGTTTGCTATTACCTTGTCCTCCGTGTACACAGTGCATTTTTGATAAGATGAATATTGCTGACCACACCTGCTGCCTCTCACACCACAGCGTGTCAAACACAAGCTGACACCAACCTTCTTCACAAACGCTGCTTCTCTTAAGCGCACCGAATCCCATTGAAAACCATGAAATCACATTGGTGCCTAACACAGAATGACCTTTGATATATTCACATTAGGTGAAGGCTAGCCAAAAAAGAGAAAACCTTTTGGCAGTCAGCTTAAGCTTTGCATATTCAGGGAAAGGCTGTGGATTTGGGGTGCTGACTAACAGCGTTGAGAGGAAGTCTGAATGATTTATTCTGTGCAGGCTGGGCTGGGGCGGCCTCAGTGGCCCCTCTTGGGGAACTAGAGGAAAAGGATCCTGATCATGTCAGTTAGTTAGTGGAATGAGGCCCAGCTTTTGCACTAAAGCCATCTCTGCAGATGAATGCTGTTTTAGAGTCGTGCTCACATCTGCAGCAAAAACACTGTGTATATTTTCAATACTTTTCAAATGCTTGTTTTCCATATTCATACATTTCAAATCAGTTGATGTATTTAGCTGATCTATTTTTTTTCTCTTTCTCTTTCAGTATTATGTGCCAAGAATCTAGCAAAGAAAGACTTCTTCCGTAAGTATATGATTTTATCTTTCACAATTTGAATGCTTTTTGTAGCTAAAAAGGTTCACTATGAAAATAAATGGGGTTATACTTGCCTTTATTCACCTTTAGTTTGAATAATCTTCAATAAATGTTGCTCCCAGTTTTAAAAAATGGTCAAAAATGTACCATAAAAGTATCATAGAGTGTTTTAGATTGAGTCATATAATGTTGTTTGAGGAAAAGACAAAATTGAAAGTCTTTTTTTTCCCAGGATAATACTGGTCTCCAGTGCACTTCTAACTGCTTCAAAATAATTCAATTTTGAGCCATTTTAATTTGACCTAATTATATTCAATTTAAATTAATATAACTTATCTTTTTATTATTACATTAATAGATTGATGGGGAAGTTTTTCTGAATTACGTTTTATAAGTTAAAATAAAATTTTCTAATCAAAAATGTCAAAATCATTTTATTAATAAACAATGTAATCTGCTCTACCAAATGGTTGACCATGTTTTGACTGTTTTAAATAATGAACAGTCAATGATAATAATGGTTTACACTTACAGCATTGCTGGTTTACAAAGAAATCAAGCTGCACTTCTACACTTGATTTTGGTTTTATTGAAAAAAATTAAACAAGATGAAAACATCTTATGTTTTATTTTCATTTCATTTTTTTTTAATAAATTGGTCTTGCACTTCATATTTTCTGATTTTCAAGTATATGTAGTAATTCCGGTACTTTTACCGTAAACCGACATATCAACTTCTACCAAATAGTTAATATTTTTCGAAATTATGGGAAGTGTTGAAAAAATTGAGCATATACTAGCGACATTAGGAGTTAAGAATTTTTTGTTGGTGGGGTAGTTAAAGGGTTAGGAATTTAAGAAAAAAAGTGCTAATGTTAGGGTATATTTTAAGCAACCTCTAAAATAAATCAGTGTTATTCATCTTTCTGTCATGAAAAACATTCTACTGGGTGAAATTAATGTATTTTTGTCACACTTTCTAGATTTCTAGACACTTTCTTATTTATTTTTTGATAGAAATTAGTCCACAGTATGATTTGATTAAGTGTGCAACACTTGATTGATTCATCAAAAATTGCCCAAATTCTGTGACAATCAAATCTTACACAACTGATGCTGTTTCCAGGTCTGAAATGGTGATTTGTACATCGCAGAAATAACAGTGCACTGTTAATAGGGTATTTACACAGCTAGTATTTTTTTTCCCATACTGATAAACTTCCTGTGAACAGCATCGATGTTGTAATGTAATTAAAATATAATCAGTTAAATAGACTTTAGTGTTCATTTAGTTGTTGAAGCGTAAAATGAGACGAGAAGCGGTTTACACTCACGTGCCCATCAGGATCAGCAGGCGAGCGCAGAAGATCCTTTAAATATACCTGGGTAAAATAAATGTTCATATTTTAAACACATGGCATGGAAAATGTCATTTAAGGGGCCAATCACACCAAATGCTTTTTTTGCGTTGAGAGGCGCCTTTTTTGAAAGATTTAATAACGGCCGCGAGTGTACTACGCGCTACGCGCACCTCACATTTAAACCACCTACTGCGCCTCTCAAGTTACGTCAGTCACATGTTTTTCATTCTCCAATCAGATTAAGGCACAGGCAGGGTTTCCGTTGAGGTGACAGCAGTGTTTGTGTTGTTAAGATGACTACAGGGACTTTTGAAGATGGAGGAGAGACTAGTGTTTGCTGTTTTGAGTTATCTGATGCTGTATGACTTACAAATCTTGAATTTCACGATATTATTAAGTTTTAAAATTATATTAATATCAACAGCAACACTCTCGCATAACACCCAGCTGATTCAGTCGTTGCCCAGCGACATAAAGGGCGCTCCGGTCTTCTTTTTTTCTTGTCAACAAAAAAAGACAGTGTGGTGCGCCTCGCGTTTTTGGAACATTTCGGTGTGATTGGCCCCTAATGCAGTGCTTCTTTTATATTCTGAGACCCACTTTATGTAGTATATTTATCAGGCAGTGAAGATCCTGGATTTTGAAAGAGAACAGACCTTAAATGTGCTGATTTTGTAACAGCCTACAGTTCTCCGGAGTCGATTGACCCAGGTTACTGAAAAATTTAAGGTCTTTCTGCATACTTCGGAATATACCCTATTCTTGAACAGTTTTGTGAACCGGGGCAGTCATTTCAAGCAATATTACCAACTGTAAAAGTGCAAAAAGACAATGCAATATCACCGGAATAACAGTGCACTGTTAATTCATGAACAGTTTTGTGAACTGGGTCAACCATTTCAAGCAAAACAACCAGCTCTCAAAAATATATCAAAAAACATTCAGCGAACAAATTGGACACTGATACTGTTGAACTTTCTGAAATGCCAAGAAGAGATTGTGTGGATTTTCTGTGAATAATGACTTGTATATTGGTCTGTTCTCAAATAAATTGAATATTGATATAAGACAGATATAAGAACATTGTATTTTATAAACTTCTTCAGTAACATATTACCTGGCTTTTATTTTGAAGTTTGACAGCTCCGGTCCTCATTCACATAAATTTTCCATATAATTCCCCAGTCATATTGAAAAGAGTAGAGGATATTCAACACATTCAAATTTTATGATTCGCAAAGTAAAAAAAATACACACATCGGCATGTGTGACTAAATATCGCTGTAGGCTGAAGTATTATTTGACTATAAATCCCTTGCATTCACAGAAATGGCTGTATAGGAAGCATTTATGTCTGTGCATCTCTGAAACATTCGAGAGCTGTTCAGAGACGCCCACCGGCTGCCTTTATCACTGAGGGAATTCACATATTCATTTAGTGGCTCCCCATCAGATTCCACCCACTCCAGCATGAGCACGCTCTCCAGTGTTCTCTGTCCCAGCTGTTCTGACTGACAGGCCTGTTTACCCCACTGGCCTCGACCGTGTGTGTCCCACATATTATTCAAATGCCTGGTGTGCGTCATTCATAGATCCTGTTTCTGTGCCATGGCCATTATGCTTCTCGCGTAACAAAGGGCCACATGAGAATGCATGACGAAGATGTGCAAAAAGTCCAATTGTCTCTGGTAATTATGCAGGACTATTATTATTATTCATGTCCTCCAACAGATGCAGCATGTATTTTTCAGCAGTGTTTTTCTCCTGGCTGAAAGGTTTTCAGTAGGAGGCTCTTCATAGCTTCACGCCACCCAGTGAACGGTCCACAGAGCATGAGACTGTCCTTTCAATAACACTGTCGAGCTGCCAAATAACATTTTATAGGACTCCTGACTATGCCTGAAATGAGCATAAGCATGACCTGAAAGTAAACCTCTGGGACCGTAATTATGAGTCTAATTGTTGCTGGTGAAATGATGTGGTTTTATTAGATTTCATCTAGAATGCATGATGTCTGATCCTCTAACCGATTAGTGTTGCTTTTAATTAACCTTAACAAATTGGGTGCAATACTCTGACAAATACCTACCTTTGCACACTGAAGGTGACAAGAGCGTCAACGGCGAGAAAGTTTGCTACATTGATCTTGTATTCAAAGGAGCCGTTGCAGCATATCAGTTACATTCCAGCATAAAAACATGCTTTCTAGCATGAAAATGTTTTGCACTTTTTATCAAATTCATTTAACTATTGAAGGGTTGGGCGATCAATCGTCGTAGGTGGCGGTGAATTAATTAAATATGAATTATTAATTCATTCATAACAAATTAATTATTTGCAGCCTACTGTTTCAACTACCTGACCCGCATGGACTTTTTTTTACTCATAAGTAATTAAATCATAAATAAATAAAGACAAGTTACACACAAATTACCATCTGTCCATCAATTTTTTTCCATGGGACTCTGGCATGACTAGACAAAATGATCTGTGTCGTTATAATTGTGTAGACAAACTTTATTGGTTAAAAAGGTGCACATCCAACAGGAACCAACCAACAGCATCTGATGTTTTCGCTAAAATTAGCAAGTACTAGTGTAAAAGCGAAAGATTGAAGCAGTAATATCCAAATCCCAGTGATTTTGAGGCCCATCGCAATGTGCCTTAAGAGTGCGGTTTTCCCCGACCACCGAATTGATTGACCGACGCCATGTTTCACAGAACTTTTGCAAATTAACTGGGATTAAAATATTTGTTACAACTTTGGGATTTTTAGTTTAGTTTTAAAGTTTAAAACATTTTTAAAACAGAGCATGTTTATAATATAAGTAAAATCGTTATGTAATTTTTTGCTGCTATAATCACCATGGTGTCCGTAAACGCTAAAATGTGTGTGTACTGCAAACAGCATTTGTCTGAGACTCATTTCAGAAACGCTTGAATAAACTCCAGCACAATTACATGAAATTAACTTGCTTGGTAATTAGGAATGAGCTGGATTTCAGCTTTATCTGAGTCTTTCTTTGTCACTGACTGCTGTTTATCTGACGTAATGCATGGTAACATGCAATGAACTGGGTGAAGCACCTTAATTTCATTTAAAGTTATAGGCTACAAAAACAGCTACAGTATATTCAGACACCAAAATGGGCATATTCTGGAGGCTATAATAAATAATCTGATGCGTATTTTGAGCTGAAACTTTACAGACACATTCTGAAGACGCCAAAGGCTTACCCTGCGTCTTGTAAAAGGGGTAAAATAGGTGCCCTTTAAAGTCAAGTCCACTAATCGCTTTTTACAGTCAATTTACAAGTCCTTACAAATTGTACATTATATAATTTCTGTCTGAAAACTATAAAGAATGATTATTTTGTGCACATCATTGCTCTTTTGTATTTATCTTGTAATGTGTTTATTGTATTGCATGCAGATACCCTCCCATACAAAATCATCCCAATCAATCTAAAATGATAAATTTAAACAGAGCTATTAAAGTCATCTGGTGAAATTGTGTTCATATTGCAATAACAACATGTTGCAATATCAGTTTTTGCCAATATTTTCCAGCCCAAGTTTTAAGAGAGAACTTTGCCTGGGTGTGAATCTGTAAGATCAGTGGCATTGTTGGAACCATAAAGCAAATTGTGTCCATCTTTTTTTTTTTTTTTTTCAGTTGAGGCCAAACGTTTGCTGAGTTTAGACTTACTTGGACGTAGGTTTGCACAATATATTGTTTCAGCATCGATATCGCAATGTGATTATTCGCAATGTTGAGTCTGGATTATAATTGATCATTTTGCAAGTCATTTTTGAGGCCTCTGACAGTGAGAGGGTTTTGAAAGCATTTAGGCCTAAACTTTTTACCGTTTGTAACTTTGACAAATGAATAATGATTAAATTGTTAATAAAAACATGCAGTATTTGATTGTACATTTAATTATTGAATTACTTTATACCTGATTACAGTTTGACATAAATAAAAAAAATAAAAATAAAACGCCGAGTATTTAATTAGTATCTTTTTCTTTATTGAATTAGTCTAAACTTGTAGATTGTTTCTTATATTTTATGCATATGGACTCCTCTACAGAATCATCCCAGTCAATCTAAAATAATCAATTCTTTCCAAATTGTTATTCAACTCATCTAGTGAAATTACTTATATCGCAATACATATTGGCGATTAAAAAGTTGCAATGTTAGATTTTTCCAATTTCATGCAGCTTTTTTACTTAGAATTATTATTGTGTGTGAATGTTTTTATTTTTATTTTATTATTGAAGTCTTTATTGCCCAGAGTTTCTCAAAAAAGTATGTTCTGATGGCTGGTCGATCTCATTTATATTTTTTCTCAAGGAACATATATATATATATATATATATATATATATATATATATATATATATATATATATACATATACACACATTTAGCTATTAAACTTATATAAATTTTATTGTATTTATTTTAAATCAAATCACTTTTTCATTGTCACATCATCAACATCATAGTACGCATGCTATATAAATAAAATTGCCTTGCCTTGTATTATAATATATTCATTCATTCATTTTCCTTCAGCTTTGTCCCAGGTTTCTGTAATATGATATATGTTTATGTAAAAAATGAGCATACTTATTCTGACTGGTTCTTCTTTTTGTCACTTTATTATTATTATTTATATTATTACCAATTCACCAATTACCAATTGAATGTCTAAAAAAGGGACAAGTAAGTAAAACTTCAAAACGTCAGAGTTTAAAGACCTAATATGACAAATTAATGAGATAAATGATACAATGAAATTTATACACTAATCTCTTTGATAAACTTGCAAAGCAATCTAGCTAAAGACCTTCTGGTCAAATGCACCATACATAAATTGGTCAAGATTGTTAACCAAATGACTTCTTAAAATATCTTTGCAGAACAGAAGCATGAAATATGAAGTAAACTATTTTAATTGCTTATCTCAAACTAAATCGGAAAATTCTGAAAACAGTCATCAAAATGTGAGCATTTGGTTTTTTAGATAGACAAATACAAGTTATTTGCTATTAAAAGGATAGTTCACTCAAGGCTGAAAATTCTGTTATCATTTACTCAGCCTTTACTTGTTCCAAACATGTTTCAGTTTCTTTCTTCTGTTGAACACAAAGATATTGAGCTGAAAACTTGTAACCATTGACTGCCATATTATTTTATTTATTTATTTTTTTTTGTATGATGCTAGTCAGTGGTAACAGGTTTTTAGCATACTTTAAAATATCTTTTTTTTCTGTTTAACATATTAAAGAAACTCATAAAGGCTTGGTAGCAATTAAGGTTTACTAAATAGTGAGTAAAGTTTAATTTTTGTATGAACTATCTCATTAATAACACCAAATCTTTGGATAATACTAAAAGAAATCACTCCTTTCAGCCTGTCATTATTTCGCATGCATGAAATGTCAAGCATGTCCGCTGTTATGCTTTTAGATGGTTTCATGTAATGAAATTGTGACCAGAACATTGCATTTTAAATTAATAAATAAAATCTGAAAAAACAAAATGTTCAAGCTTTCGTTTCAAAGGTCATTTAGACTGTTACAGCCTTTACAAATACAGTAATATCGACGTGGTATGAAAACAGGCAGAATCACTCAAATGAAAGCATCAAGGCTGAACTCAAATTGTGAAATAATTTAGCAACTGAAAGCTTCAAGTTGTTTTTTTTAGAGATCTGTAAAGTCATCCATATATTTGCAGTCTATCTAAATACTTGGCGCATTCATTGTGAAAGCTGCTTAGCCATCCAGATTGTACCCGTTCTTTCAGAGGACATCGTGTGACGTCTGGGTTTGTCCTCTGTTATTTATTTGTCTTCCTGCCATACTGTCTTTTTCCGCTACAGGGTTGCCTGATCCTTTTGCCAAAGTGGTGGTGGACGGCTCGGGTCAATGCCACTCTACAGACACGGTCAAAAGCACACTGGACCCCAAGTGGAATCAGCATTACGACCTGTGAGCAAATTCATCCTCTTATCAGTGGTGTTCCTCAGGGATGGAGCTGAACCTCTTGCTAAAGATTTTTTGATGTGTATATAGGTATATTGGGAAGACCGATTCCATCACCATTAGCGTATGGAACCATAAGAAGATCCATAAGAAGCAGGGTGCGGGATTCTTAGGCTGCGTGCGGCTCTTGTCAAACGCTATCAGCAGACTAAAAGACACAGGCTGTGAGTGTGACGCTTTAATAGCAACCCCTAATCTCTTCATTGTGCCATAATACAGTCATTATATGTCTCAAGTAAAATGTATGTAGTCATAAATGTTTGATAACTGCATATATTAATCGTTTTTGTCTTTTTGATCATCAGACCAGCGTTTAGACTTATGCAAGTTAAACCCATCTGACAGTGATGCTGTCCGTGGACAAATCGTTGGTACGTATTCATAGAGTTTTTCAGATATAATGGCTTCGAGATCTGCTTAGAAACCCCTCAGGGACACTTTTTTAAAAATGTACTGAATAATAAGATGTCTAAGAAGGATAACACAAGCAGTGAACTTCTGAGAAAATCACGAAGCATTTGTTTTCTGATGCCATTTATTTCAGAGTGTTACAGTGAAGGTCATACTTTTAAGTGTCTATACGCTTTAGGAACACTGTGTGAAATCTGATATGAGTTTTCAGAATAATGTTAATCTATGCTGTATTTGATCAAAAATAATGGCTCAGTGTAAAGACCTGAACTGTTTTCATCATTACTGTAGTGAGTTTGCAGACCAGAGACAGAATTGGCAGTGGAGGGCCTGTGGTGGACTGTCGAGGACTGGTAGAGAATGAAGGGTGAGTCAACACACGTCTTGAGAATGCACAATTATTCAGCACTGGAACTGACTGGCTGTCTGCCCAGATAGAAAGCGCATTATTTGAGCTTCCCGAAGGCCAGTTAGTTTCACAGTTCATCACTATTTTGATGATCAATATTTAGTATGTGGATTTGGCACGCTATGTTTGGGAAAATAGTTTTGGGGCTTTTCTATTTGACATGATTTGATAGTGTGATGATTATTATAAGATTGCTTAATATAAATTTTTTTGGTTTTACCCATGTGGCCTATGTTATGACATCAGAAATATAATTTCAATTTGCAGCATTTACTTCGCTTTTCTGTTTGCTCTTATCCTGATTCGTTTATTTGTTTTACTCTCATAAGTGGTGTGACAGAATAAGAGGGAAGGGTCCTGGCGAAACCTGAGCACAAGTGGTCATAAGAGATGCATTAATATGAGGTGGAAATGGTAATTAGTCTCAGTTGACCACTTGTGAAAGATCATTAAAAATGCAAATTAAAAGGGATAGTTCACTTCCAAAAAAAAAAAATATATATATTCATATATATATATATATATATATATATATATATATATATATATATATATATATATATATATATATATATATATATATATATATATATATATATATATATATATATATATATATATATATATATATATATATATATATATATATATATATATATATATATATATATATATAAATAGATTAAAATGTTAAGCTTCCCAGACTTGTGACTTTTTTTTTTCGTCAAATAAAAAAAAAAGATATTTTGAAGAATGTTGGAAACTGGTAGTCATTGACATCCATATTAAAAAAAAAATACTATGGAGGTCAAGCATTCTTCAAAATAGAGACAAGTCTGACATTATTTATACCCCTAAAGACAGAAATTTAAACATGTTTTGAATACAAATAATGTCAGAATTATCAGTTTTGGTGATCTATTTCTCTAAAAGGCCTCAAAACCACCTCTGTCTCAGCAGGGTGTTTTCACACCTCTAGTTTGAAAAAAGTCAAGGAAGTGGGTGAGTCCAGCTTTGTTTAGGTGGGAGTGTCGAGTGGCGAAAGAGGGAAGGGCTTGCATGAAAAGGGGAATTTCAGTACGTGTAATACAGCTGATTTTTACACCGGCAACACAAACACAGACGCGGGGGAAATAAATAGTGATTCAGAGAGCAGCATTCACAGCATATCTGAAAGCTGTGTGGAATTGGAGGATTTTCAGTCCGTAATATGATATTGAAGTACTGTAAACTTAGTAACTGAATCATTTTGACTGAGGTATTTCTTCATAACTAAAAGAATACTGCTGACGATACTAACTAACTTTGCCTCTGAATAAACATATACAAAGAACATTAATCACACACTTACCAAATCAGTAGAAACAGGACAATCAAACTTCGATTTGGTTAGAGAAATTGATCCAAGTGTGAAAGCACCCTTATAAACACAACACTGACGACCCATGTGTCTAAACAGTTCTTTTACTATTTGTTTAAATTACGGTGGACAACACAACTTGGCGTCTCTCTGAACACTGTAACAGGTAAAAGAAGTCTTTGAAGCTATATCATGCATATTAACATTCCATCTTGTTCACAAAAGAGCAAGCTAATTGGTTCAAATGAAGTCTTTCTTATGAATTAATGAACAGATGTGCTGAAAACTCAATGATGTCACTGTACCAGCCGGTACAGACAGCCAATCTCCTCACTGGAATTTACACAATGATCTCATCGCCGTGACGCAGCTTCAAAATTTCTTTTTAAACCGGAAGAACGAATTTGCTAAAACAACACAAAAAACTAAAACAATTTTCACTTTTATAGTGAAATATATGTGTCTTAATTGTGTTTTTAGCAACGTGGGACACATATGACTGTCAACATCTCAAAAAAATGCATTTTGTTGTTTCATGACCCTTTAATGTCAGGTGAAAGCAGATTCTTTGTGTGCTTTAAATGTGTGTGTTTTCACACCTGCTCTGTGTACGTGTGTTATTCAGGCCAGTCTTTGAAGACTCGGGACCCGGACGGCCTCTCAGCTGCTTCATGGAGGAGCCCATGCCATACACCGATCCCACAGGAGCCGCTGGAGGGGGCAACTGCCGTGCACTTGAGTCACCCAATCAGGAACAACGGCTCCAAGCACAACGCATCAGAAACCAGGATTCCCGAGGGCACACGCACACCCCCCAGAATCGACCGCACGGACACCAATCCCCCGACCTCCCTGAGGGCTATGGTAAGCCTAACCACATTATGTGGCAAGATGGTCAGGAGTGGAGCTTATCAAAGAGTTTTTTATTGTCATTGTTGCTGCATTTAAAGGGACAGTTCACCCAAAAATTAACATTTATTCACCGTTCACTCATACTTAAATAGTTCTAAGCTTTTATACATTATAAAAAACATTTATTATACTATATAAATAGATGTTGTTACATCAATTATGAGTGTATACATTATACAACCAAGACATTTTGAAAAAGGTTGGAAAGCTGCAGCCATTGACATCCATAGGATGTTTTGTTCATAGCATGGATTTCATTAGCCTGTTTCACACAAAAATACCAGTAAATATCAGGAAAATTTTGTTATATGCGGAAAATTTCTAAAACGACTTTACCGGTAAATTCAAAAAAGCGATGTTCACACATCCATTAAAAAATTTTGGTCAATTCTGTCATCCTTATCCAGAAATGAGCTCTAAACATCTGCGTTTATATTTGTAAACATAGAACATCTTTTATTGATGGTTACACCTTTTTTTATAGCGTTAGCATTTATGCTTTGTCCCAGACAAATTCATAGGCAGAAGTGCCAATCGCAGTTTGACAATATCACAAATTGTGTAGATGGATAAGTGTTCTGAACAATTTGTTTAAAAATGTATGGAGGAACATATCAAGATGTACATAATATGTGTGTGTGCTGGCGCTCACCAGAGTACACCTTTACGTGCACACGCATCAAGCAACTGAAGCAGAGCTCGAAGGTAAATAAACAGAGGTTTATCGTAAGCATTTTAGCGATAATTTCTTCCACATTTGGCTTTAAGAAGCAACAGAGAAACATTATCTGACTAACATCTAGCAGCTAAATGTATCTCGAAAAATATTCAAAAGGCTTGTACTTTCATAAACAACGCAGATGTGAATGTGTCTGAATTTCCTGATTGGCCAATAGACGTCTTCCCAGCAACATTCTGGCAAGTTACTGGTAATGTTAAAACTTCTCTTTCCGGAAAATTGACGGATCGAATTTACCAGTATTATCAAAAAGGGCCTGTCCACACATGATCCCACATAATGAGCTCTTCAACATTTTTTAAAATATCTTCTTCTTTCGTGTTCAAACTGGTTTGAAAGGATACATAAATGATTGCAGAATTTTCATTTTTGGGGAACTGTACTATTTAATGTTCGTGTAGAGCAGGGGTGTTCAAACTTGGTCCTGGAGGACCAGTGTCCTGCAGATTTTAGCTCCAACTTGCCTCAACACACCTGCAAGGATGTTTCTAGAAAGCCTAGTAAGAGCTTTATTAGCTATCCCAGGTGTGTCTGATTGAGGTTGGAACTAAACTTTGCTGGACACCGGCCCTCCAGGACCAAGTTTGGACATGCCTGGTGTAGAGTGAGAACGAGTTTGTCATTCTGCCATCACAACAGTAAACAAATCGTTAGAGAAGAGATGTCATTGCAAAAGAGAGAGGAAGCTGATTTGACTGAATATCTAATGACCACTGCAGTATTGCTTAAAAACAGAAAGATCCATTTTATTTCCAAGGCACGCTATTGGGATTCAGCAATACTTTTCTAACAACTTCACCTTTAATGCACTTCAAATAAGCTGGTGCGAGTAATTTTTCTGTCATTATGTATAATCAGCAGGTCACTTGTTATAAAGACAGGGCTAGCTTTGTTCAATGGAAGTATATATATAAATATTTAACTACAAACACAAGTGGTTTTGCACATCCCTGGAGTGTGCACCTGATCTCTTACCCACAGTACAGTCGGAGTCTGCTGAGACTAATACAGCTTAGCGCTTTGGGTAGAGGCTACTGAAGTGCAGTGAACTGGAGAGACTGAGCTCTGAAAGGAGTCCATTCAGCCGGGCACTGCTGCTTTAGCTGAGCCATGTGGCCGCTGCAGCCTGCATTATACAGGTGGATTGACTGCGCTAAAGCCCCTCATTGGAGTGTAACTGTGTCTGACCCGGCTGGTGTTGTGGTCGGGCCCTTTGGCGTGATCGCCGGACGGCGCCAGTGTAATTAAATCTCAGCCTAGACATGCCACACTGGCTCTGTGCAGTCTGAGAACTGGAAGCCGGGCGTTCTGTTGCAAAAGCCCTGGCGCTCTTTCAGGTTTCATGTAAAACTGCTGTCTTGCTCGTTCGCTCTTGACGTGTGCCTCTTCTCTTTTGTACCACAGAGCAAAGGACCACCGTGCAGGGCCAAGTCTATTTTCTGCACACACAGACTGGCGTGAGCACCTGGCACGATCCCAGAATACCCCGGTAGGTTTAATCACCACCCGCCTTCACTGAAATAACGATTGTGCCCTTTCTGATTGCTTCTTGCTGCTATTGTAATATCGCTCTAATCGTTTAATGTCCACAATCAGCTAACTTGATAATCAGCACAATCATCTCACTTAATAGCTGCTACTGTTGACATTGTGAAGCTTAATAATTTGCTCGTCATCAGGAGAACGAGGAAAGAGACTTGAGGAAAGCAAGGCGGGAAATCAATACAAGTCAAGCAGACAAATGCAGGTGTTTTTTGTGTGTGTCGAAGGTTATTTTAGTCACTGTAGCGCGTGACCTCTTAAATTGGCACCTTCTCTTTGGCCCAATCACATGCTTGTTTAATCAACACACATGCGAGCATGTTTTGAAAAAGTTCAGAAACCGCCGACTGTTTGTTTTGATCTTCCATTGTGCCAACATCTCTTTACTAAGACAAGTCAGTCCACATGTTGGCCATGTTTGTAATGCCTTCAGGCAACTATTTCATATTTTAATAAAGTACTGAGTAGATTTTTTTTGTTTTTAGGCATGGTTGTATAAAATTTAAAAGCTTTTTTTTTAGTTTTATGTAATATATAGATTTCAGTATATAATGATGGTATATAGATATATATACAGTGCTTCCCACAGGTTTGAAATATACTTGCAGTGGTAGTCGGATTGAAACACCTTTTACTCTCAGCACATAAATGGTCAACTACATGCAACAAACAAAAAAGTGATTTTTATCTGTATTTTTTTAATATGATACTGGTTATAAACCTTTTTATTTCAGTAGGTTAAAGTAAAATAAAAAAGATGGTTAAAATAAAATAAATAGACTATTTCTCTTACTTTTATGCTATTTTATGCTCTCACTCTTTAAAGTTGCTTTATTGGCATGATATTTTGTACAGTATTGACAAAGCAAATATACAACAAACGTGAAATAACAGAAAAAAAAGGGAAAAAAATAGACAATATTGCTTAAAAATTATAATAATTACAAAAATATAAAGTGTAAATTATATAAATACGGCAAGATTTGATTGAAAAGTTGATTAACCATTTCTAATGTTGTAAAAATATATTGCAGCCTGTATAGATGGAGTATAGATAGTCATTTTGTTTTTTCCGAGTATATGGTTTATCTGAGTCGTTTATTAAATAATTAGTCATTTAATGTTTCTCTCCCTGCAAAATGGTAATGCAAAAACAACAAATAACGGTAACGTTAGAAAGCAAAAGCTGAATCCTGGACATTTTAGGAGATTCAGAAACTACATCCGGACGCATTTCGACGCAAAAGGCTCTGTGGGTCTGCAGAACACCTAATATTGTGTGAGGGTTTGACAGATCTGGCACACATAGAGACAGCAGTACGAAACATGCAGAGCGAGAGAAGATTATCCACTGGTTGATCGATCGCGAATGTTTGGCTTCCAAAAAAAAAAAAAGTGTAAACGGACGATGATAATAATAGTATTATTCATGTGTCATCACCAAATATACTTGGGTGTTCGTTAATATATTTGAGCGGCCCGCCCAAGTAAAGTCTGTGTGGGAAGAACTGATATATAGAAAAAAGATTATTATACATTATTATATTATACAAATATGCATCTTTATAATAATACGAGTACCATAAAAAAAAATTTTTAGCAAAAAAATACAGCCTTGATAAACTTTTTTGTTACATTCTAGGTTTAGATTAAGGATGCAACGATTAGATTTTGATTGTACGATCAAAGTCTGCAGAATAATCATGGTTATCATGATTATTATGCATTTATTGGTTTCAAAACACTACTAGTTTAGAAAATCACATGAACACTTCTCATATTTTAAAGTGCTATTTATTGCTTCTCAGTAACTAAATAATACAGCACAAAATAATAATAAAGAACAAACAGTTTTTAATCTTAAAAATAAGGGAATAAATGTTTTTGGCATTTAAACATAAGTAATAATTTTACACTGAAAAATAAACAGTAAAACAATCAATCAATCAATAAATAAGTAAATAAAGAAAAAAAGAAAAAAATATACAGTTTTCTAATATAAGTTTAAGCATCATATTAGCAAAGTATTTCCCTTTTAAAGAGAACAAATGTAGTCAAAGGCTGCTGAACATCTTTCTAAAGGCACTTGATAAACTGTATAATGTATTGTCTATATATACATTATCACCTATAACATTTGCAATTTTTAGGGACAGAGCACTGAAATGGTGCATAGGCCCTATTGGAATTGCTCTGTTTTTTATTCATTTAATATTTTTTTTTCCTCTTTGGAGTAGAAATGTATATATTTTATACAAAGTATGAAGCTTATTGGTCAGTTCTTATCACGTAACTCATGGTGCACCGTGTGCACTTCACCCTAATATGCTCACAAGAAATTAAATAGCGAACTTAAGTGTGCAAAAGACACGACTTGTCAAGGGCCCTTAGTTAATAGCCTCAGCCATAGTTAATCTAGTGTGTGCGCATATTCACCTTTTGAGAGGCTTTACGATTAATTAACGAATTAAAGCGCGGTTAATAGTGAGATTGGTCAATTGTTGCATCCCTAGTTTAGATTTAATTTTAAATATTGGGTTAGATTTAGTTTAAAAATATTTTACCTTATGGTATAATAAAATAAATTGAAATAAATGAATCTGAAAATAAAAAATAAATAACGATTAGTTGTGGCTGGTAAATTAGGGGATTTACTTGGCACATCATGGCTGGTGGATAAGAGATGAATTTCCGACTGAGGAACTGGGTAAAAGGGCAGAGGTTTGGACACATTATACATGTATGAGACAGCAGGTGTGATGGGTGCGCTTGCTCCTTCAGGGATTTGAACAGCGTGAGTTGTGAGGAGCTGGGCCCACTGCCGCCCGGCTGGGAGATCAGGAGCACTGTGTCAGGACGAATTTATTTCGTCGACCACAATAATAGAACCACGCAATTCACCGACCCCAGGTTACACCACATCATGAGGTAAAACATCTTTCACATCGGCTCCGTTCATAACATCTGATTACTCATCCCAGCTCTTAAATGATCCTGTTAATTATTCAGCACAATGAATAAATCATCCCTGTGTAATTAGTTGCTAGCAATGATAATTGCTTGCTCTTGTAAAGGTTTATTCAATTAATTCTCAACATTTATTTAATTCCTAATCGTCCCTTGTGGGAGCGTAACCCAAATAATGCATGATTATTTCATGGTCCACTGCTATGAGAGAGTGACGGTTTTAGTTTGCGTGTGTTTTGCAGCCAACACTCTCAGGTGAAGGAGTCGAGCCAGGCTCTGCCCGTGCAGATGGAGGTTGGCATGGAGGAGGGTGATGGAGAGTTGCCGGTGCGCTACGAAAGAGATCTTGTCCAGAAACTCAAAGTTCTCCGGCATGAGCTCTCGCTGCAGCAGCCTCAGGCCGGCCACTGCCGCATAGAAGTGTCCCGCGAGGAGATCTTTGAGGTACTGAATAGTGCCAGTCATGTAGTGCATGCATAATTCAGTGCTGAGGAACTGTTTTTGTCATTGGAAGTGGCACGGGATGCATCACGATTAGCTTTTGCATACTAATGCTTGCGTTTTGGTCTCTGGCAGTCAAACGCCAACATCAGTGTCTTCAGCAACACTGCTGTTTTTGGTAAAATGACACTTTAGGAGAGCATGTTTATTATTTTAATTTGATGAGTCATCTGTGCGATCTTCTGTTTGTTATTATGCATAGAAATGTTTGGGGTTGGAAATGATTTTAATCTTTTGTTTTTTAAGATTTTTATCAAAATAAATAAGACCTACTGTATAGTAAACTAAACCGTTTTCTTTTGTTCTTGTCTTTATATATTTTTTGTAATAAAGTTTGCAATGCGTACTAGGGCTGCATGATTAATCCAAAAATATCACAATCTCGATTCGACTCTACACACAATCTTAATTCTGCTTTTATACTATTTGGCCATTTATATTTTCACGGTCAGGAGAGAAGCGTAAAGGCGGACGCACAAGTTTTTACAGCAACATTGACACCTCCAGATAGCGTTAAAAGTGCTACAAACTGTATTTATATGGTATAATTCATCCAAGATGTCATTTCTGTTTCAATGTAAAGATGTATTTGGGGCTGCGAAATCACATGTGAGGTGTTAATTACAGAGAGGACGCGCATGTACCTGCCATTGATGGCTACTTTAGTGAACAGAACCTGCATAGGATGTGAATAACATCTAATAAAGTTGTAAATAGCGTTCAGTTTTTTGCACCAAGTCATCGTTAGAGAGCCGCGCGGGCGAAGTATGATTTGCATGGATGTGTTTTTTTCTCAAAGTGACTGCAGCCATGAGCTGCCCTCAGAAGTGAACGTGAAACCGGCTATCACATTTTAGAATTATGATTACGACAAGCGTTTGATATGTTTTTTCTTTCATCGCGAACACAAAGTGTTGTGCATGAAAATAAATGTATACTGCTTCAGTGTAACTAATCTAGCCTATATAATGTTAATTATAATAACTGATAATGACAAGTGTCTCATTTTACCAGTGAATAAAATGATCTAATAATGCTGTCAATGACAAGTATATGTCTTAAACATAATAATTCAACTTTAGAATTATGAATAGTTGTATTCTAATGTCATCGCTTTGCTGTGAATTAACTACCAGGACATTTTTAAAGTCTGTTCAAGTCTATACAAAATTAAGCATTTTAACCAACAGTAGACCTACACATAGGCCTAATATTATTATTGTTGTTTACTATATGTTTGAGAAATAACAGTATTAGTAGGCTACTCATATTAACCTTTATTTTACATCTACAGAAATGTGAGCAAATCATAATCTTGATTTTAAGCCCAAAAAATTGTGATTTTCATGCAGCCCAACTGCGCGCTCGTGTTTTTGATTTATTTATTTATTTTTTATTAAACTCGTCAATAATGTTATTCAGAAGGTCATGATTCGAACTCATTAAATAATTACTTTCTTATAGCTTTTATTTTACATTCTTAGGTAATACAAAAACAGATGTTTCGACACAATGTCTTCCACAGTGTGTGTTAATATATTTTTAAACAATTATTCCTGTCATGTTTTTTTTTTTAATCAGTCATTATCCAGTCTTCAATGTTGAAAACAGTTTTGCTGCCAAATATTTTTGTGGATAGGAGCAGTCCTTGGTAGATGTGGAAATGTGAGTGCTCTAATTGCTCCTCTGTCTTCTCTGTAGGAGTCTTATAGGCAGATCATGAAGATGAGACCCAAAGACCTGAAGAAGCGGCTGATGGTGAAGTTCAGAGGCGAGGAGGGGCTGGATTACGGAGGAGTTGCTAGGTAGCATATGAATCTGTTCCATACGAAAGGTTCTCATTAATTAATTTCCCCAGCGCCTCATTATTCCCCCATCTCTTTTCATATGCCAGACTTGACTTCATAATTTCAGCAGTTTAGCTGAATCTCAGCCAGGCTTATCAGCATGCAGAGCATCATGCTCACGATACTGCAGGTGTTCCCCTGTTGAGCACACGGTTTAGACTGAACAGCAGCCAGCAGGCTTTCTGAAAAAATCTGACGTTTGTGTCTGAATTTCTGTCCTGTGTTTCAGGGAGTGGTTATATCTGCTCTGCCATGAGATGCTGAATCCATACTATGGCTTGTTTCAGTACTCGACCGATAACATCTACACACTACAGATCAACCCAGACTCCTCCATTAACCCTGTAAGTCACACGGCGACCTTTGCCTGCTATTTCTTTTTTAAACAAGGGCCAGTTTGACAGCCTGTTATAAAGCTCTTTAGTAAACGTGTGGTGGTTGTTATGTATGCTTGGAAAGCTGGTCCATGTGTTGCTTTGCTGCTGCAGGGCTTTATCAAACTTCCTCTCACTCACGCCCTCTGCTGTTCATTTCAGGATCACTTGTCTTACTTCCACTTTGTTGGGCGGATTATGGGTCTGGCTGTTTTCCACGGGCACTACATTAACGGGGGCTTCACCTTGCCCTTCTACAAGCAGCTCCTGGGGAAACCCATTCAGCTTTGTGACCTTGAGACCGTGGACCCAGAGCTGCACAAGAGTCTCGTCTGGATCCTGTGAGTGAAATTTTATGAAAAATATATGGATTTAGCTCAGTAGAATGTAATAGTTGTGTGGAGAGCCTGAATTTAAGAAATTGATAGAATGGCTAAAACTCAAGATGTTATTAACGTGACAGCATTCCCCTTCTAATTCTGATTTTAGCATTAAAATAATAAAATCAAAACATTTATGCCATGGGTCTCAAACTCAATTCCTGGAGGGCCACAGTTTTGCTCCAACCCTAATCAGACACAGCTGATCCAAATAATCAAGTTGTTCAAAAGAGTCTCAACACCTTGATTATTTGGATTAGCTTTGTTTGATTAGGGTTGGAGCAAAACTGTGGCCCTCCAGGAATTGAGTTTGAGACCCATGATCTATACCAGTGTTTCTCAACTGGTGGGGAACATTTTCAGTGGGTCGCGGAGTGTGTGATCAAAAAAACAACAACAAACGTTTCATTTTTAACTTATTTTGCGTATATCAGACTTTTGAAATGCGGGGGAAATTTCATATAATTATAGCAACAAATATGTCGAAGAGGAAATACAACCCCGAATATGTAAAATGTGGATTTACATATATTGACAACAAAAAAGGCTTAAAGCCTCAGTGTGTAGTGAGGTGCTCTCACAAGAGAGCATGAAACCTTCTAAATTAAAATGACATTTAGAAACCAAACATCCTAGTTGCAAGGACAAACCTGTGGACTGTTTTCAAAGGCGACTCCAATAGCTGAGGGCATCACAAAAGAGCAGAACATCTTCATGTTCAAAACAAGTACAGGCACTCCGCTCATCTTACTGTGCTCACCATGTAGCAAAGGCCAAGAAAGCCCACACAATAGCAGAAGAGCAAACAACTGGTGATTATTATAAGAATGGTTATGACTATTTCAATCACTTTACTTTAATTTGCTGGTTTGTTCAACAGGATTAACAGGTTAACGTTTTATTAACAGTTCAGTTTAGTTAATGGTAACTGAACTTTTCCTCACCCTAAGCACTGTTTTGTAATGTATTTGACATTTTTACTCTGTAATATTACCATAATTTAATACATTTTGTTAAATGACAGCAGTAAAATATTGTTTATTTGTAAGTCTTGGTGATTTTCTTATAATTTATCTGTCACTACTTGTTTATATTAACAAATAAATACAAATTAATTATAATTCCTAAAATTATATTATAGTTCCTAAAAATTTGGGTCGCGGCTTGATGACCAAGGTTAAATGTGGGTCCCATGGCCAAACCAGTTGAGAACCACTGATCTATACCATCATTAAAACTACAGTGCATTAGGCTTCTTATTTACATTATGTACGAGCAGTCGGACAAACAGCCTTAAAAAGTGTACTATAATATATAACAGCCATAAAAACAACGGACCTTTAATCATTGTCCACTGTCTGGATTTCTTTCTCTCCAAATGTAATTTGGAATACCAAATGTCTTTGTACAAATGTCTTTTTTTTTTTAACAGTTTCTGGTAATTTTAATACAGTCACAAATTCTATTGTCCATATTAACATCTGTTGTCTTCTTCTCTAGTTTGTTATTCTTGCTTCTTGTTTTGCACTGACTGAAACAACATCACAGGGGAGCGTAACAGTAAAACAATTTGTCCCGTAATCATATCGTCTTGATAATGAAATATTTAGTTGTATACGTATACCTAGAGTACATATGAAGTAGTATAATTTGATATCAAACTGTTATATTTTTTTATAATTAATAATTATATGACCACATGGGTGTAGGAAGTATAGGAATTTTGCCTTGCAGACAAATTGTGCCATCTGTTTCCATAATTTGTTTCAAAGTAGTTTTATAATAGAACTAAAGAGGCAGTCGTTTGGACTTTTTAAAATAATTAAATTAATAGCTTAAACTATTAAAATAAAGCCTGTATATCTACAGTACCCAGACTTTTCTTATTGTATATATTTTATTCTAACATTTGTTATTTTTGCAACCCATCTCTGGGAAACATCCACACACAGTCATTCACACTCATACACTACGGACAATTTAGCCTTCCCAATTCACCTGTACTGCATGTATTTGGACTGTGGGGGGAAACCGGAGCACCTGGAGGGAACCCACGTGAACGCAGGATGAACATGCAAACTCCACACAGAAACGCCAGTTGACCCAGCCGAGACTCAAACCAGCGACCTTCTTGCTGTGAAGCAACAGCACTACCTACTGCGCCACTTTGTCGCCAGAATTATTTATATTATTTATTAAATTTCCCAATTATTGTATTTTACTAAAGTCTACCCCAACCCTAAACCCAACTGTCCCAGTAACTTAAAAACAGTAGCTGTAAAGAGTATTATTATGTCTATTATTTATATCTATTAGATTACCCAATAAATTGTATTTTTAACATCTACCCCAACCCTAAACCCAACCGTCACAGTACACACTGCTTTGCTGGACAAAGTCAGGTGTCTAATAACTCATAACAAAATAAAGGCTTTATTACAAAAAAAAATATTTTTAGGGAAATTGCTTGAAATATGGAGACAGACTTTTAAAGCTTATTTATAACATTTCAATAGAAGCTTTGAGTGTAAATATGATGTGTGTGACATGCAATTTGGTACAGTCTGATATGAACAGTATTAAAAAGTGCTAGTTCCAGTGATAAAGCATATAAACATGGTCACATTTATTGTGCTGCATGTGATGTTTGGCCTTTCAAATGTAAAAAAGTATGAAAATAAACAGACAAAACTAAGTGAAATGTCCTATTTTATGTTGATTTTGGTGTTGACAGAAAAACACAATTTTCACAAGCCTGTTATTAAGCATTTATGGGTCATCAGCATCTTAAATCCTTGAAGGTTTTTAGTAATTAAATTTATGTATGTACTGTATTATATAATCTACAAAAAACGAATTACCGCTTGTGCGAGGTGTTTCTAATGCAGTGCCTATGTGACAGGATAGCAAATTCGAAAATTCGAAAAAATTATTCTCTGCTCTGGCTGACGTCATCAGTCTCACACTATCTATTTTCTTTTTCTGAATGTCTTGATAACACCATTGTGGCTTTTTTCTTATTTCAGCAAATAAGACTGTAAAACAATTATTTGTTTTAATCTTCTTTTCACTGCGCTCTAAGCTTTCCCAACTATGATGACTTCCGCTACTGAGAAACCCAGAAATGTGAAAAAGGTCTAGTGTTGATGGGTCATCTGTTGAATATAAGCAACAGTAAGAATAACTTTGCCCTATTTTTCTCATGTTTTTCAGAGAAAATGACATCACATCTGTTTTGGACCACACCTTCTGCGTAGAACATAATGCTTTCGGCAAGTTCCTCCAACATGAGCTCAAACCAAATGGCAAGAACATCCCAGTCACAGAGGAGAACAAGAAAGAATACGTGAGGTGTGAAATATTTAAAGACTACTGCAGTAGGAGATTTTTATATGGAGAGCACTTTGTTTTTATAAATGTATCCTCATAAAGAATGTTGAGTTATTTATGATACATTTAAAAATAATGAAAATTTGTAATGTATCTTTTTCTTCCTTCAAAATAGCTTATTAAAATAACAAACTTGTTGTTATTAAGTAATATATATATATATTTATCTATATTAATTTTGCTATGAAATAGTTTTAAGTTGCTTATGTGGCATTGAATAGCCAAAAAAAGTAGTAAAGTATGAAGAGGTACAGGATTGTACATCATAACTGTTCTCATAATGGAAGAAAGTCATCCAGCAGAGGGCAGCAGTCTCTCTGGCTATTGGCTTCAGGTTTTAGGAGCCTCGCTGCTTTTTCCTCTGTCAGTTTGATTAAGTGACCCTTTGGTAAATAAGCTGCCAATCAAGAATGTTAGCGGAATGTCAATTTTTATTGTGCGGGAGTCATTACCAAATAGAGGATGTTAATGGAGAACTGTGGGCTTCAGATGCCTGTTAGTATTGTCCTTGTTCCATTGCTGCTCTGTGATGATTGATTGTGTCTAGGCTGTACGTCAACTGGAGGTTCATGCGAGGCATCGAGGCACAGTTTCTTGCCCTGCAAAAGGGCTTCAACGAACTCATACCGCAGCATCTGCTCAAGCCTTTCGACAACAAGGAACTTGAGGTAATTCTGACAGTTGATGCTCGCTGAAATTGCATGCTGATTGACTGGAGATATTAAAAGGGCTTTACATAATGAATTGGAGAATCGTAAACCTAATATGATATTTTAAACATTCTTGGTTCAAAAATGAACAGATATGTTTAAAATCCTGTCAATTAAACAATTTATTTATTTTTGTTTTGTTTTAGAAAATAACTATAGACCAGGGTGTTATTCATAAACACAGAGCAAGAATTTAATTAATCTTTTTGATCAGTATCATAATGCATAGTAATAATAGTAAAAGTAGTAAAAAAAAAATACTAATTTTAAAAATAGTGAAAAAAATTATTCTTACTAACAAGATACAGTTGAAATCAGAATAATTAGCCCCCTTTATATTTTTTCTCTAATTTCTGTTTAACCAAGAGAAGACAATACATTTGTAAACATAATAGTTTTAATAACTCGTTTCTAATAACTGATTTATTTTATCTTTGCCATGATGACAGTAAATAATATTTACTAGATATTTTTATTTTTGTTAATTATGTCATCTAGGCAAATTAGGATAATAAGGCAAATCATTGTACAACAATGACTTGCTGTTTGTACTGTGGACTATCGAAAAAAAAAATAGTTAAAAGGGGCTAATAATTTTGAACTTAAAATAGTATTTAAATATTAACAACTGCCTTTATTCTAGCCGAAATATAACAAATAAGACTTACAGTCTCTACTTTATCAACACAGATGCATATGTGTGTGTTTGTGTGTCTGTGTTTGTCTGTGTGTGTGCTTGAACTTTGTAACGACATTGTGTGTGACACATCGTTGCAGAAAGGCTTGAATTAACTCAACAAATACATTAAATACTCATTAGGAAAGTTCTTACTGTAGTATTTCTTACAAACATTACATGAGATCCGCTTCCTTCATGTCTGTCACTGTGGTGTTATTCTGATGCAGACAGAGATTGAGGCTCACTCTGATAGGCACGTAGGAACGGTGGGCAGGAAGAACTAGCATTAAAGGCACAGGCAACAAAAACAGCTACAGTGTGTTCAGAGCAGAAAATCCAATGTTCTGAAAGGTATAATAAAAATGTTTTGAGCTGAAACTTTACAGACTTATTCTGTAGACACAAAAGACTTAAATTAAATCTTGAAAAGGGGTAAAATAGTTGCCCTTTAGAACAAAAATTTCTGTCATCGTTTACTCACTCTTTGTTGGTTCCAAACGCATTGTACTTTTTTTCTGTTGAACATTAAAGGAGATAATTTGAGGACCGGTGTTAACCTGTTACCATTGACTTCCATAGCAGAAAAAACTAATACTATATAGAAGTCAATGGTGACAGGTTTTCATCTTTCATCACACAGACACACATACATACATATATGCATGTGTATATTTATTTATGTTAACTAATCTTTTTAAATGTTTCTTTGTTTGTTTTTAATAATTGTAATTTATTTGCAAAGCTGACCGATTTGTCTGTATAAGTTCAGGCTTTAGTATCACACCATGATCCAGAAATCATTCAGTTATGCTAATTTGCTTCTCATTTGTCATCAAACACCACTGCCAAGAGTTTTGAATTATTAAACATTTATAACATTTAAAATCATTTACTGTTTGTGTTTTTAAATGTCAAATTAATGCGTAACCACAGAATTAAAGTAGGTGTTTGTTAACCTTTTTTTTTACTGGCCCCAAACAAATCCAATACTGCGTCTTCATCTAGTGTAATTGGCATATTTATTGGTACAGTATATTGCTCATCGAGCCTATTTCAATGGCTCTCATTACATGTATTTTCCTTTCCTCTCTGAGCTGTAATGTTGATAAATGTGACTAAAAGGTCAGTAATTATTGTTGGATTCTCTCTGTGTTTGCAGCTGATCATCGGTGGTTTGGGGAAGATCGATCTGAACGACTGGAAGGCCAACACGCGGCTGAAGCACTGTGTGGCTGACAGCAACATCGTGAAGTGGTTTTGGCAGGCGGTGGAGTCGTTTGACGAGGAGAGGAGAGGCAGACTCTTACAGTTCGTGACAGGCTCCACACGCGTCCCTCTACAAGGCTTTAAAGCACTGCAAGGTGGCTAATGGAGAAGCCATGCGCACTTTCACTATTCTTGATAGATGACAGATGCACATGCCGATGTCAAGCTCTCTAGTCTTTCACTATTTAGTTGTTGTGTTGACCTTAAGTCTAGTGACGTATTTCCTGAAAGTTATTATGCACAATTCCTTAGTGCATGCTGTTGTTGTTCTAAAGAAAAGCCACATTTTTAGCCATTAAAGGGATAGTTCATCAAAAAAATGTGTTAATTTACTCACCCTCGAGTACTTCCAAACATTTTGGGTTTCTTTACTCTGTTAAAGGCAAAAGATGTCTTGTAGAATGAGGGAAACTTGTAGCCATTGACATTTGTAGTATGGGAAGAATATAATAAGAGTCAATGGCAACTGGTTTCCACCATTTTTTGTGTTTGTTCGAAGGAAATAAACTTTGGAGCAATTGGAGTGTGAGTAAATAACAATGTTCCTTGTTTAGCTATTCCTGTGAAAACAGATTTCACAATAGGGCTGCACAATACTGTTGTTTTGTGTTGTATTAGCTATGTTTTTGCACAATAATATATCCTAAAAAAAATCAGTTTTGGTATCTTTAATGTAGGGATGCACCGATCTCGATACTTGGATCAGATATCAGTTTGATACCACATATTTTTGCTGGATCAGGTGTCGCCCAGCTGTTACTGATCTAAATCCGATCTTGCGCATGCACTATATTCTGTGTAAGCCAACAAAAGCCATGAAGGGTAGCCTATTATAAGGTACTAGAAGGTTGTCATGTAGGCCTACTATATCCCACATGTTCTGAAGCCATTCTATAGTTTAATGTGAAGCACAGATGAACATTCAAGAGGTTAAATTCATGTTCAATTACTGCTCCCCCCCCCCCGCCCCGCTGCGCCTGTCAATTTTTCTTCATTCGTTCACAATTAAACTACGTGCTGCAGTTGTTTATGGCAACACAAAAAACTTTCTCCAAGACTATTTTTTCCTGTTAGTTTAAATAATTATTGGAAAAATGCATTTAGTTTTGCATTAAATGGGTTAATTTGACATGCAACAAGGAGTTGAATGGTGTTTCTAAATCATGTTGTTAGATCTGTTAGATTAGCAGATCGCATTTGCAACACTTGAGTAGAGAGGGTTATAACCTGCTCTTCACACACAAAGTAGGCCTACCTGAAATTATTAATAAAAAAGGGCTTAGTAATAAACTGGACAGATCCTCAACGCACTGATTTCTTACCTTTGGTCTGCTCAGATTTGGAAGTGTCTGCAGGTACTGAAGAGCTGTGCGCTGTGTCTCAGTGATGCATCAAGCGCTTCATTCATGCAATGCCTGGGCAGACGCTACTTGCGCCGCTTCATAAAATTATTCTCATAAAGAGTTTCTGTTCTCTCATCCTTCCGCCCGAGTTTATTCTTCCGAGGGGAATACTTTCAATGCTGTGAATAGCGAATTTGTAAAAATATTGTTATAAAAATAGTTGATTTAATTAATAGAAGTGAAACTGACAGGCACAATATGGATTTGATAAGTAAAATTGGCCTCTGATAGTTTATTCTGCATCAGACCTGCAGGAAACTGTCAGGCTTTGCTAAAATGCTGGTTATTTTACCAATGATTAGTGTCAATAGTGGTAGCCTATTACAGATTTCAAATAAAAATCTTAATATTAAAAAAGGTAACATAAACTGAACCACAACCATTCAGATCAATGCCATAATAAATGCTCCAATAATGTAGCCTAGTCTACACCAAGCATCATGTTTTAAGTTATATTGTGTCATCTGTCATATACAGTAGGCCTATAGGTCTGTTATTTTACTTAAGAAGATCTGTTATTTGAGTTCATCACAAGAACTGTAGAAACTGTATTATGCTTTAAAAATAAATAAAAAAATAGAATGATGGTACGGTATTGGGATTGGATCTGTATCGGTCGATACTCAGAATTTTGGCGTCGGATCGGTCCAAAAAGATGGTATTGGTGCATCCCTAACTTTAATGTAATGATCATACTAAAATAAACAAATATAGACATTCAATATTTTCTAGTCTAATTAAATCTAATTTAGTCTAGTTCAAGGTGCAAAGATTTAGAGTTTAAAACTCTCTGAATAGCTGAAAGTCTCTGCAAGATATTTTAGTCAGATTATTTTTTGCTGTTGTCATTTTCTTTGTTTCTACCGCTAATAGTAGTTCTTTTCAGCACTTTGAGGCCCTTTAGCTTTAACTTTGAGTCCTTCTAGCCAATAATGCTATTCACACCTACTGTGGGGGCAGGTATCAATGTAGTAAGGCCCATCTGATTTGGATAAACAACCAATGCATGCAGCACTCAAATAAAACAAGTGTAAATTATTGCACTTCTTTGTGATATGGATATTTCATTTATTATTATCACATTAAGAATAATTATTTGATCTATTGTGCAGCCTTATTTTACACATTGACACGCTGGATAAATCTCAAGCTCAATCCTGCTTGATAATCTGAATGTTAAAGTAGATGTGTTCATGCTGACTTGTGTTGAGTGTGATGATTTGGAGAACAGTGATAACTAGAATGTATCTTTGTAAGGTTCTACAGGTTCTGCAGGACCAAGACTCTTCACTATTCATTTAATTGATGCCAACACAGACAACCTGCCCAAAGCCCACACATGGTAAGATTTAGCTTGAAACTAATATCCAATTCAATGAAAACAATATAATTCAATGAAAACAATATAACCAGTGAAAATAAGTCTTAAAATTCTATAGAAGAAAAATATTTGGTTGAATGGGAGTAATGTATTCAATCCATTTAAACCACAAGTCGACAAATATATCTGTTTGGTTGTGTACATTGTATGTTATTTTCTCCATAATGAATATATTTATCAAAACATCTATCAGATCTTGCATTTGTGGTGGATTAGGTTTATACCAGCATCTAGTAATGGCTTTTTTACTTGAAGCAAGGATAATTCTATACATATATTTGTTTTTTTCTGTCCAAGGAGTCCATTGACAGCATACCTAGGTGAAGTACCTCAAAGCTAAAATCAATTGAAAAATTTAAGATATATTCTAAAGTACTATGTATCTCTTTCCAAAAACGTCTAATGTTAGGGATTCCCCAAAATATGTGAAAATGGTTAGCATCCTGTGAACCACAATGCCTCCAACAATTTGAGTTTCCATGAAATGACTTTTTCTGTTTTGGAGTAAGGAAAAATCTAATAATATTTCTCCAGCAAAATTCTCTCCAGTATAAAGAACGGGAAGTAGCCCGTTGTAATTCAGATATTTTCAGCCAATCCTCATTTGAGATGACAATGCCACTTTCTTTCTCCCATCTTTCTTTAATTTACAGACATGAATCCCATTGTTGGTCCATCTGTGATTTATGAAGTTAAAGATAATTTAAAACAAAAATTAAAGGTCAAATTTTGGAAAAACATCATGAAATTGTGCTAACAAGACAGGAACTACCAATGACTTTGATGTCTGTTGTCTCTTTATGGGTCCTTTTTGTTTGAAACTTTACCTCAATTAAAAACCCATTACAGAGTTTAAACCACACGAATACATGATTCAGCTAATTTAAGGTTTGGTGTTCTGTCGATTTGTCCTACCTTGTCCCATTCAGAAAGTATGCAGTACATTTTGATGACGCAACACCGGTACCCTGACATTTTGTCCTACCCATCAGATTTAGCTGCCAACACTGTATTTAAATGGTTCTGAGGTTAGGGATTAGGTAGGTTAGGGGGCGATATTGCAGCTTTATATTACACTACTCCACATCAAAATTTACACTGGTAGCAAAAATCTGATGGGTAGTATATTGCGTCATCAAAATGTGCTGAAAAGGTAGGACAAATCGACAGAACACTGGGGAGACGCACTGTTGACAGTCAGCTCTTGGGCTGTCAGCCCGGCTAGTTGCTTTGTGTACCACATGTCACCTCTCATCAGGTAATTGCCGGATTGAGGTGGCCAAGTTCATAATATATAATTGGCTATTGGCTAAAAAGCATGCTCCATTGGTTATTCAACAATGAATCAGATTGCAAGAACAAAGTGTAAGGCCCAATCGTAATTCTACCCCTTATGCTGTGTTCACACCAAACGCGCAGATAAAACGCACTATTCACGCATAAATAGACGCGTGAACATTTGAGTTTACCCTCTTTATTCGCGTGTCAAAATCCGCTTCATTCGCATGTCAAATTCACTTCACAACAGATGCGGATTCACATGATGGCCGGGGCTTCTGTCTGCACGGTGACTCTAGCTTCGTTGCTAATTGGCTAACATGGATTTTATTAAGAAGATGACTGTGTTTATGTGCTTTATGAAGGCTGAAAAACCGCATCAATTCGTTTGGAGCAGTGTCTGAGTCCACTAGATCATTTCAGAGATCCTCCATTTATCAAATCTCCTCCAGAAACTTAACCTGGATAATGATAGCATTCAGCAGTGCTTCTGACTGAGTCAAGTCCAGTTTGATGAACTGTTGTCGGTGTGTGCAGGAGGAACATATAAATCACTCGCACTCGACTCTTCTTCTGCATCTGGTGTGAACACAGCATTAGCCTTTCCCTGTACCCCTACCCCTCATTTTGCGCATTCTTGTGAAGAGGTAGGGGGTGTCACAATTCTCTTTAGCTTAAAGGGTAAGGGCTAGATAGTCATAGAAACTGATATTTTCCAGTACCGCACTAGAAATCAAGAACATGATGATGTGTACGGGTGTCCCATTTCTTTGGGGTACATTTTTATGCCCTTCCCCTTCATACTCTGTTTCAAGGGCCAATAGGTGTAGAGGTAAATAAAATAGAATTGCGTTTGAGCCTAAAGTGATGAGACCAAGTAAACAATTTAAGTTAAGAAGCAAAAAAGAAGCCGGCTTTAATTTCACTAGATTTCTCGACAATTCAGTTTTTTAAACATTTCTTCAGTAATTTAACCGTATAATCAGTTTACACATATTTACACGATTTTACACCTCCTTTCCCCTCCATAAAAGTGGCAGTTAATGTAATTAGATGCTGCTATCATAAATTCAGTAAATACATATAAATAAAATAATATAACCTCAAAAAAAGAGCACACATACAGAAAAAATAAATAGTAAAAAATAAAGTAAATAAAAAAACGCAATTAATTATGATACACAAGTCAAACAGGATAATTCTACTTTTACTGTGCGTCTCACCACAGTGACATTCCTCCATTCATCTTCCAAAAAAGCCAAATAATTTCCCCATCATCTCTAATAAACTTCCAATTTATCAAGTAATCTATATGTCCTTGTTTCATATGCTGCCACCTTTCACTACATTTCTCAAAGTGAAGTTTCACAAACTAATTTTAAGAGGAACACGTGATATGAATGATCAAAGCTGGTCTCTCATCTACAGTCATTAGTAAGCCAATCAGATTAATCCAAACTCACTATAAGTAGCCTGTCTAAAACTACTTTGTTTTCCAAAGAAACCCCCCCCATCCACTTCTTCTCCCCCTTTTCTCCTTTACCAGGGGGAGCTCTCGAGAACTACCTGATCTCGTACTCCCTTTACATGCTCATTGACCAGGCGGGAGCCCTGGGATCAATAATCTCCAAGCTCAGGGTTCTCTCCCGGGACAGCATGCCAAACCTGCTATTATTATCAAGCAATATCTAAGTGTGAACTCTTGAATATTTGCAAATGATATAGATAAGGGATGGGCAACTACGATCCTGGAGGACCACTGTCCTGCAGAGTTCCGCTCTAACCCTAATCAAACAGACCTGCCTGTAGTTTTCTAGTGATCTTGAAGACACTCATTAGCATGCTTGATTAGTGTTAGAGCAAAACTCTGCAGGGCAGCGGCCCTCCAGGACCGAAGTTGTCCATCCCTAATATTGGATTTTTAGATTATCAAACATATTTACACAAGTGAATCCCTACAATACAGTTTGTTTTTGCTGGTGCTAGTTGATTGGGGTCAGCTTGGTGTGTCCCGGCCCTGAAACTAAACAATTCTCTTTCCAAAATACTTAATCTAATATCTCTCATATTCTTTCAGTTTCAACCGTATCGACATCCCGCCTTACGAGTCGTACGAGAAGCTGTATGAAAAGCTCCTGACAGCAGTGGAGGAGACATGTGGTTTCGCAGTGGAGTGAGCAAGCGCCCTGTCCAGCCAGCCAGCAATGGCAGCAAAAGCCACCAAACAGCCCCTGCCACCCTCTCACACCCCTCCCCTTCTGCAGGACAGACGGACTGGTGTCTCCCGACAGACTTTAGCATCACACTGCAGTGGAGGGCAGCGAACACCCTAGGTGTTTCAACTCATTGACTAATGGTTTTGGCATTACCACAACGAGTTCCAGAGGAAATGTAGTTTCTCAACAATGCAGTTGGTATCGTCTTTGTCACTGAAGCGGCGGGTTGATGCGCGAGTGTGTTTGTGCTGCAGTACATAGAGCCTCGCTGAGCCCGTGATCTACTTGAAGTAGAGCTCACGTTTTTTTTAGTCTAGGGGGAGGATTTTAACACACACACACACACTCAGAGCCTGTGACCGTTAAACCAGTTTACCTACAGAAAAATGTGTCTCAAAGGACAAGGCTTGCGTTTGTCATGCTCGATGTATGTAAACGTCTCCAATTGTTTTCCTTTTTTTTTTTTTCCCCTTGCGTCCCGTTTAGTGCTATAGGATGACATTTCAGTGGTATCCATTTCCTGTGCTCTTCAGTTCTCATTGTAGAAATTTTAACTCGATTGCTTGAAATGTATTGTTGAAATGATTATTACTATTATTTTTGTGTCTAAGATCAAGAACATGCTTGACGGCGAGTCTTAGTCCTGTTGTGGGAACTGAATGTACCAGCGCCCATGTGTTCATGTTGAAGCACAACCATCGTGTGCGGTCGAAACACCAAATGTTCTCACGGAGTTACAGTATTTTTGTCGCAGAACTTCTTTTAACCCTTTTTTTTTTTTATCCAATGTAAGCAAAACATTTGAATTTGAAGCATGTCACCTTCTCCAATGGCGTTCGGCTTCTTAAACCGAACTCGTAAGAAGATCAGATGCTTTAAAGAAGCTCTTCTTGTCCTTAATTTTGATGGACCCCGTTAATCTTTTCCAAATGATTATTATATGGTAAGCATTAACCGTTTTAACCTACCGTAAACTTGACTGTTATTTGCTTGTTTCGTTGATCAAAACCACTGCTTCGTGGAACATTCGGCACTTCCGCTGGCACATGTACGATCGGAGTGGACGAATGCTTCGCTCCTAGACTCTGACGGAGAGGCTTTTCTGGTTTTGGTGTGCTGAAAGAGCAGGGAAGTGTTCAAGATTTCATTATGTAGTGCTTGACGTGCATGGCACCAGATTATTCTTTGTAAATGTAAAGGATGAGCCAACCTCATGGTGTTTCTTCAACCACTTTTGTCCTTTTTCTTTTCCTCCTAATTTTTTTTAACCAATTATTTATTACCATGTAATGTCTTTTTAAGTATTGCTGCTATTACCATTATTCCATAGTTTTCAGAGAAAGCTGAGTTCTTGTGAAAGCTGTACACTAATCTCTTTTATTTTATGTATGAATCAAAGTATTTAAACCTGCTGCTGATTCTTCAGGAGGTTAAGAGGATCGGTTCGCCTGATCTTTTGACCTGGATGGAGTTGGCGAGTGATGTAGGCCAGGCCCCGGTGGTCATGTTCATATTTGTGATATATGCAATAAAATCCATCACCTTTTTATTCTTGGTTCTGTCTTACAATGTCTTCTTCCTCACTTCAGATCGGTTGGGATGTGTCTTTGACGAGTGTGCAAAAATGAAGTTTTCCAATTTTCCAAAAGACCGTGAATGCCTACAGTGGTGAACCGTTTTTAAAACTTGCATACAACACAAGAGAGGTGATGTTTAATGTTGTGTAATTGTGGGAATGGCTAGTGAGCTTGAAGATGAGTCTGGACTTTGCCTGAAGTTACAGTTGTTTTCATTTTTCTCTAAGAAAAAACTTTTTTTTTTTTTTTTTGGAGTAATGTGACCAGTATCATCACATTGTACAATTATTAGGTCCTGAGTGTCATTGTTTATTCGATGCAAGAGTAATGTAACTTACTATGTACTAAACATTTCTGAAACAAATTCAGTGTAAATAAGATTATATTAAAGAAACTAAATTGCAAATCCCTTCCTCTTGCTCGTTTCTTTGAACTTTGTGTGTGATTTTTTTTTATTTATTTTTTTTTGCAATGAATGTTAACAAAAGTTAGTAATCTGCCTGTCGTATTTCTTCCAAAATATTGGAGGAACAGATGAGAAAATGTGCTTTTGACATTTGTGCTCTTGACTCGAAAGGATTGGTCTGTGCAAGAAACCTAATTTACAACATTATTATCTTTTAAAGGGTTATTTCATCCATAAATGACAATTATGTTATTAATTACTCGCCCTCATGTTGTTCCAAATCCTGAGACCTTCGTTTATCCTCTGAACACAAATGATGGTATTTTAGATGAAACCAGAGAGCTACCTCACCCTCCATTGACCACAAGGGTGCCGTGATGAAGAAAACAAATCTAAAACGGTGTTGAAACGGTGTTGAAACAGTTTCAGCTAACAATTTAACATTTTTAACCCTTGTGTCGTGTTCACATCCCGCCCATTACTTTAGTGTTCCCGGTCAAAGTTGACCGGTTTGTATGAACTGCTCTTAAATTAGAACTAAAAAAAAACATTTTTCACCAGCAAATATTTATTCAACATTCTTTAGCTGTGAACAATGTTATATAGTAGTGTTTAACATGAATTTATACAATTTGACATAAGTGAAGTATCACAAACTAATTTCGAGAGGAGAACGTGATATATCGACTACAGCTGATCCTTATGTCATTAGCTAGCCTATCGGATCATTCCAAAATTACTGTAAATGTCCTGCCTAAACTTCATTCCCTATCTTCGTTTTGCTAAACCCTCCCTTCTATCCTTCTTTCTCCTCCTTAATTCTATGATCGGGGCGACAGTGGCAGACTCTGCTGCCTCCCAGCGGGAGGGTCAATGGTTCAAGTTCAATTCGAGCCAGTAGGCACTCTGCGCTGAGTTTCCATGTTCTTCCTGTGTTCGAGTGGGTTTTCCCCGGGTTTTCGCCAACAGTCTAAAAACATGTACATAAGCGAACTGTAAAACAGTCACAAGCACACTGAATCAGTTAGAACAAAATAACCAAAATATAGGTTAAAAAAACAAACTGGGGGGCTCTCGAGAAATACCAACGTTATCTCATGGCAATTCATAACTTTTTGATTTAGTGGCTTATTCTTATAAATTAGTACGATTTGCTCATTACCCAATGGTTGGGTTTAGGGGTGGGGTTGGGTGCCACGCCTCCTTTTTAAAATCATTCATTTTCATTCAACTGAACTTGTACGAATTCATACGAATTACCCACAAAACTGACAAAACATAAAATACTGACGTTTCCTCGTGAGATCAGGCTGTAAATACCTGATCTCGTATCCCTCCTAATGCTCACTGACCTGGCGGGAACCTTGGGCTCATCTATCTCCGAGCTCTCCCAGGACACCATGCCAAACCTGCTATTATAGCCGAGCATTATCTAAGTGTGAACTCTTGAAAAAAAAACTGCAGTGGAATTACAAATAGGCACTGAAAATGTTTACAAAATTAACAATACATCACAGAAATCAACATGCTTTGTTTCATTATCAATAGACAGCTCGCTAAAATAATGATCTCATAATGGTCTGACCAAAGAAATTAAACATTTTTATCCATCTGAATGATTCATCAACCAGCAAACCACAACAAAACTATCCTTTCCTGTGTACCGAGTGCTCGAATTTTTATCCAGTCTTTCAATTGCACTATATTAGTGTACTGATGTAAGGAATGGTGACTGAGGGTGTGGATGGTGAGTGCTCCTGCTAGACCCAGAGAACGACTGAAAGAGAGACAAAAGTAATTAGTACGAATTAGCCACTATACTGGCTTCCACCTTGGCACAAGCATGTAAAAGAGATGTGTACCTGTAAAAAGACGGTCTGAAATGTGCGAGTGATTGAGTTGGGTTGGGGCGTTGTGTATGGGGATGTTTTCTGTCTGATGGATGAATAGTCTGGATACCCATTCATTTCCTATGGCAGTCACTTTTGACCGGGAACACCACAGGTGTAACAAGGTTGATTAAAACACTCGAAATCCAATGAAAGAGGTGATCATCACTTTTATATGTTCAAATGCATAGTGTTGCAAACAGATTTTTTTTTTTTTAGTATTTTAAGTTGTAAATCAATCAGATTTGACCCGAACACAACAGGAAGGTTAAAAAAAGTGAGACACTGAAGAAATGGTCTAAGAATATGAACCTAGTTATAAGCCTCTTTGGGCATATTGCTTTCATGCGTTGACATGACAAACAAGATGGTGAAAATTTCGTAAGCAAGAACAAACTTCTGATCATTATTCTGGGGGGAAATACTGGAAATCTTGTGACATTACGTCAAATAAAATGATCTTTTAATAATTATAATAAAAGCTTATAATTACTTTTGGATTTCTTTAAACACTATAAAATGTGTAAATAAGCAAACAGTAGTAAATGCTAATGATGAGGAAAGCAGCGTTAAAATAACTTGTCTCCGCTAACTTCTTTTCCACCATTAAAAATGTCTGGAAAATCAAGGCAAATAAAATCACCTGTAATGTCCTTGGAGTTCTTCCCTACCTGGCAGTTTCCTGAAAGCATCTTAGCATTGCCAACCTGACAGAGGTGCAGTAATAAGACAGTTTAAAGAGATGTTATAAAGACCCGAGTCCTAAATCTGAGAGTTAAAACTTGAGCCAGAAATCGATGACTCTCACATAAGTGTAGGTGTTATTGCAGATTATTGCTTCTCTCTCTGTAATGAGATCAGTGCAGATCTTTGCTGGAAGCGTCAGCTGATGAAGACCAGAGCTTGGGTTTGGCAGAGGAACTGTGGAAATCTCTCCTCATGGGCTCAGACAACTTAAAGAGCACAAGATCTTCTTCATTCTACAAAAAATCTAAATATAAAATCCCTTATTTAAAGAAGATCCAGACATCAAAACATAACTAAAGACATTTTACAGATGAATGACGATACAGACAATGCATATGAATTAATGAAATGAAGAAACCTGGAGCTTCTGTTCTTTTGTAGGGAAGTTAGTTCGTCACTTCAAGAGCACCTCAACTGGCTTCTCTCAGTGTAAATGTGCAGTGGCTCTACTCTTGAGTTCTTCCCGGGTGACAGAGCTCCTCACATCAGTATGCGCCATGCCACCTTGCAAAGGAAACTCATTGCATCCGGTTATATTTGGGATGTTGTTCTTTCAGTCTTGACTTGAACTTTGAGTCTTGCTCATGACCAAAGGTGAGTGTAGAAATAAGACCGGTAAATCGAGAGCTTTGCCTTTTGGCTCAGCTCCTTCTTCACCACAACAGACTGGTACATTAACTGCATTAGTAATTGTGATGAGGCAAGATGGAAAACAGGTCACAAAAAATATGGCATAGCATTTATGTGCAAATGTTAATTTATTGACAGTGTCAGTTCCTCTTTACAGGCCATCCAAGAATGCTTATAAATATGTACAAAAGATATCCGTAAAAAAAAATAGGACATCAGAAAAGTAAAGAAAAAACAAACTCCAAACATAACAAATAAAGATGTGAATGTAGAAATTACCGCACTTTTCTGTTAAACCTTTCACAAAAAGGAACTGCAAACTAGCACTTTTTGCCTCCCACAGTCAAAGACCCACCTCAACAACCAACAGGTCTGGCTCATATACTAGATGCCCAACCCCACATGGACCCTACGAAATTCCCTTGGGTGAGTAATAAAATATTTCATTTATATAAATGATCACATACATAACATTAAGTTGCACATTAAGTGCAGAAGCAATCCCTATGCTACTACATGGTGTTAAGGTCATGAATACACAAAATGGCAGCTAAAACAAAATGTTAAAAAAGTGAAATAAATAAATATAGGTCTGTAGTGAGATGGGGGCTGAGGGGGGCTTTCGTAACTTGCGGAACTTTATACACCTTGGTAGTCTGCATATAGGGAGAATCGGTACTGGTCCTGGGTCTTCCCCTGGGTTTCCTCCTTGTGGGACAATCCTGGAACAGGGTCCAGGAGCCTGAGCCACCTCAACTGGCTTCTCTCAGTGTAAATAAGCAGCGGCTCTACTCTTGAGTTCTTCCCGGGTGACAGAGCTCCTCACATCAGTATGCGCCATTCCACCCTGCAAAGGAAACTCATTGCATCCGGTTATATTTGGGATGTTGTTCTTTCAGTCTTGACTTGAACTTTGAGTCTTGCTCATGACCAAAGGTGAGTGTAGAAATAAGACCGGTAAATCGAGAGCTTTGGCTTTCGGCTCAGCTCCTTCTTCACCACAACACCACAACTCATCCACCTGGGGTTAGGACTCTCATATGACAAACCACTTTTTTCCAGTTGAGCAGCATGGCCTCGGACTTTAAGGTGCTGGTTTTAATCCCTCATATAGAGCTGGTTAAGTGCTCAGCTGTTTGCCACAGAAGAAAACCGCAATGTTCCTCCTCAACCAAAAATTCTACTGTTGGCTGGATTCTCCTCTCCAGTACCCTGGCAAAGACATAGCATGCAGAGTGATAGAACATCACTGTGATTCAGATTAGGCAGTCTGAGCCATTCCTCCCAATCATGCCTCTCCATATTTCACTGTTGCCTAAGTGGGAGTTGAAGTCCCGCAGATGAACAATTAAGTCCACAGTCAGAGCACCTTCTAGTACCCCTTCCAAGGATTTAAAGAAGTTTGAGTGCTCTGCACTTTCGTTTAACCCGTAAGCACAAACTACAATCTACAATCTAGCCTATAGGCACAGAAAGGCAACCCTCACTGCCACTTCGGAAAAATCCAATGGCTGAGCTGGTGAACTAAGAGCACACCAGCCCACCACCTCTCAACCTAGGCAACTCCAGAGTAGAAGAGTCCAGCCCTTCTTGAGAAGTTGAGTTCCTGAGCCAAATTGTTTGTGGAGGTGAGACCAACTATTTCTTGTCCGTAGCTCATTCCCTCTCCATGAGGTGACATTCAATGTCCCATGAGCCAGTTTTTGTATCAAAAGATTGGTTCGTTATGGCCCTGGTTTAACTTACTGCCCAATCCACATTGCACCAGCCCAGTATGAGTCCTCCTGCAGGAGGATGGTCCCGCATCTTTCCCTTGGGCTGAGCTCGGCCGGGTACCATGAAAAACAATCCAGCCACCAGATGCTCACATGTGAGCCCCAATCCCAGGGCTGACTCCAGGATGAGGCCCCAGTTGCATGATACAGGGTGGCATCATGGTCCATTTTAATGTATTCATAAGGGTTTTTACACCCAAACTCAGTCTCCAAGAACAGCTCCTAGGATCGTTCGAACCCCTCCACCAAGATAAGGTGGGGTTCATTCCTTCATTCATTTTCCTTTCCACGTAGTTCCTTTGTTATTCTGGGATCACTACAGCGGAATGAACCGCCAACTTATCCAGCATATGTTTTATGGCTTCCAGCCACAACCCAACACTGGGAAACACCCATACACACTTTTTCACACACATACACTATGGCCAATTTAGCTTACCCAATTAGCGCATGTCTTTGGACTGTGGGGGAAACCGGAGCACCCGGAGGAAACCAACACCAGCACGGGGAGAACATGCAAACTTTACAAAGAAATACCAACTGACCCTGCCGAGGCTGGAACCAGCGACCTTCTTGCTGTAAGGCGATTGTGCTACCCACTGCGCCACTGTGACACCCCTGGTGGTGGTTCAATGAGAGGTTTATCATTATCACAAATCTCATCACACTGTAACTCTCCACTGTGTTATTGTTGTACTCCGCATTGTCTGTAAGAACTATTTAATTACGGCCACAGTTGTAGAGCAGAGGAAATGTCCCTTTCAGTGTCAGCACTATGAAGAACAGAGAAGGGGGATTATAGAGATACTTTATATCAGCCACTGCAGTGGAATCAATACAGCATACGACAAAAAGGCAGCACCTGCAATGAAATAAGATTAGGATTAAGTCATCCAGGCGAATGCAAGTTCGCAAAAAAGGGTTTCTTGCCTCTATAGCAAATAATTTCTCAACATTCAGTGCAGGAAAATGCTTCTCATAGATATACCCTTATGTGTTTCATATGTCATATAAAATGCTTCCTGTAATGCTCAGAGAAATTGCTTTGAAATTCCTTCAGAGCTGAAAACATCCTTTGACAAATTGACTCAGGAAGGGCATATTTGTCTCCTAATGAAACGCCTGGTATTTCTGCATTTGAAAAGCGCCAGAGCTGCTTTTATGATGTTCTGAAGCGTCTCTGAAGCCCTCGTGGCTGTAGTTCAATCAAAGTGTTTTACAGTAAATAAACGACACATATAGGCTACTCGTAAACAAGACATGTTGCATTTTGCAGAACAATAAGCTCTGAAGGGCAGACGGGTGATTATTTTCAGTGCATTGGACAAACGAGCTGTCTGCTTCCTGCTGATATAATGTTATCTCCATGCACATGAATTCAGGTGCTCGGGCCTCCTGAAAAGCTGATAATTGTGCAGAAATGACAGGTCTCATGTAGCGGTCACTGACAGTGCCAGCAGGATATTTCTGTGCGCTTATTGAACGACATTGGAGTGAGAATCAAGGCTATTGAAAGAAATGTGTGTTCATTTCACAGGTTGTTCTTACGCTCTCAATTAGACCAACACGATGCATATCCATGGCCTGCTATTTCATAGGCTTTTAACTGATTTTAACAGAGTTTTCTGAGAGATGTGCTGACATTTGTGCTCTAAGATATTTATGAGGATCCGGACTTTGATGGTTCATTGCGCTGTGGTGACCCCTGATTAATAAAGAGACTAAGCTGAAAGGGAAATGAATGAATGAATTTTAGACTTTTTAAAGTAAACACTCATTACAGTTAATGTTATATTAGAGCTTTCAACCTTTAACTGTAATATTAAGAAACTGAAAATATGGTATGAGCTGCTAAATATAAAGCCCATTATATATAAACTTTAAAACTATAGAATGTTTCTGGAAAACAATATTTTACAATAATAAATCTATGATTTTATAGGCACAAAATTGAATTTTTTTAAATTAAAGCCATTAGTGCTACATATTTTGATGAATTGTGTATTTGCATTATCCCAATTGTTTCAAAGAATCCAGAGAAATAAGTCATTTATCTAGTGTCAAGAACCATGTAATGTATCGCCCTGCTAATGATGTCATACTCTCATTTTCATAACCGATTGATTGATGCATTTTTAATTGGCATAAAATAGAAGACTCAGAGTGAAGACTCCATTTGGGAGCCATAAGAGCTCGCTCCTCTAATGGAGTCGAGCTAAAAAAAGTAGAATCTTTGAAAAGAGATTTTATTCTAACCTTTCTCATTTTATTTATAAAGAATAAATACTTGCTATTCTAAATTACAAAAACGTGTAAAGTAAATTCAAAACCACAAAACAGTGCAAATGGCTGTTATTGTAATCATTAGTGAATTAATAATTTATTAGTATTTTTGTATGTTTAATAAACACAATATATTTTATAGTGTAAACGTTTGCAAATTCTAGTAAAATATTTGTAATTATTTGTTACGCACTGTCTAGAGATGGTGCACAACATGAAAGACAAGACAACGGAAATGAAGATTTATTGGGGTTTGAATTCGGGAGCTGACAAGGCCAAAGTAACAAACAAAAATTCCTTTATGTTAAATCTCTAACTTACCTGATCAAAAAAATAAAATAAAATAAAGTACAATTCAGTACCCTAACTACCCTACACCAAACACAGAGGTCAAGAGACTATACAAAGAAAATGGTGTCAAACTCCTCCTATCCCAATACATACACTATTTACAAACTATTTACAAAAGAGGCAACCATTTTTAAAGGACAATCCAAAATCAACGTCAGGCAACAAAGGTCAAACAAGCCAGTGGAACAAAGTATCATAAACAAAACACACACTAAAACAAACAGTACTCACAAATCTCAATATTCCCAGTCTTAACACATCTAAGAAAACTCTGCACCATACCACATACAAACGTTTCCACAAACACAAAGCAAGTGACCAAAAACAAGATGGCTGCCAGGCCAATCAGGAGCAAGTAAGTTGGAAGGGGCCAATTAGATGTGTTCTAAGCAAAACAGAACAGATGAGACGAGACAAACATAGGATTGTAACAATGTTAAATTAAAAATCTTAAATTTAAATATAAATAGTTTATTTAAATGATCAGGTCAATAAAATGACATCTCTGTCTTTATAGTGTGAGAATCTATCAAATTTAATACCATTTTTATTTTTTATTTATTTGTCATTTGTCATTTTAGTCATTTAACGGTTTTGTTATTACTGCTGCAGTTAAACTGAAAAGTGTTGAATATTTCAAATTTAAGTAAATCATATTTTAACATTTTAACATTTTATATTATTTGTCATTCTAGTAAAGAAAATGACACTTTAAAATTTGAATTTGTTCTTGTTGTGCAAAGGTAATTGACATTTTAAAGTCAATAACTTTGTAAATTCAATGTGAAGTGTAATGATTCAGATTTTTCATTTATTAGTTTTAAAGTTAGAATTACAATAGTAACTTTTTGAAGCACAGTATAGCTTAAATACTATTTTAAGTTCCTTCACATTTATAATTTTACTTTTATCACTTTTATATATGAATTATAACTGTAATCATTTTAAAACTTAACAATTAATATGTTATGGTAATCTGTAGAAATTTTTCCACAATACACTTATACTACAATTACTGTAATTACAAATAATAAACTGCTGTTTTTTTCAAGTGCAAGACTGCATTCATATTTCTCCTTTACAACAACAAAAACGCAGAAAACTAATGAATCGGTGAGATGTGGGCAGTGCCACTGCGCAACCAGAAACTTTTACGCACAGAATGAACTCATTAAAGGCGTATTGTGCTCCAGTATATATGTGATGCAGTGCGTAACAGAGCCGAGAATTCCACCCACAAACGTGAAGCTGTGGTGAAACCACCACTCCATCTGGATCTGCAGTCTGAAAGTTTGGCGCGCATTGGTGAGGACGCGGCACACACTTTGGACACATTCATTTTATACCATTTAAGGTGCTGTGTGCATTTTCCTTTTAAAGCGACGTCTGGAACTTATTTATAGAAGGTGAACGTTTTGGATTAGAGAGATTTCATGAAGCGCCGAATTTAGCCTCATGTTTGTAATAGCAATGCTCTTTTACCAGTAGTTAAAATGAAGTCAAATCACCGAAGACTGAATTGAAGCTGTTTTGAAATGGAAGCAGATGATCATTTTTCTTTGAACATCTCGGCGGCTTTTACCAACATCTCACCAACAGTCACAGGACCCGTCAAGAGCGCGCCCCCGTCCTCTTACGACATGCTAATCACGTCCATACTCGGCACAATTTTAACCATCATGTGTTTGGTGGGCATAACTGGAAACGTTTACACATTGATCATCGTGAACACCTCCGTGCGCGTAACTGGATCGATGTATGTCTACATAGTGAACTTGGCTCTGGCGGACCTGCTGTACCTCTCCACCATCCCGTTCGTGGTCTGCACGTATTTTGCGAAAGACTGGTACTTTGGAGACGTCGGATGCCGCCTTCTGTTCAGCCTGGATTTCGTCACCATGCACGCGAGCATCTTCATCCTGACTGTCATGAGCACGGAGCGATATCTGGCCGTCGTGAACCCGCTCGACACCTTCGGACGTTCCCGGCGTTACCGGCGCGCGGTCACTTTTCTCGTGTGGCTCTTCTCTCTTATCCTCGCCTTGCCGTCCATGATCTTGATTGACCTCAAGATAGACGTGCACAATGGCGTGGAGAAGCGCATGTGCCACCCGACCTGGCAGATGACTGCGTACAGAGTGTACCTGACCGTTTTATTCAACACCTGCATTTTGGCTCCTGGATTAATCATTGGCTACCTCTACCTGAAATTAGCCCGGATTTACTGGCTTTCGCAGACCTCAGTGTTTCCTTCTAGAGAGGTTAAGAGGTGTCCTAAGCAGAAGGTGTTATATATGATCTTCACCATAGTTCTGACCTATTGGGCGTGTTTTTTACCCTTCTGGTTGTGGCAGTTGCTCAGTATCTACTATTACGCGCACGGTGGACTCTCCAGCTATACTGTGGTCTACATTAACTTCGTTGTGACTTGTTTGGCGTACAGTAACAGCTGCATCAATCCTTTCTTGTACACTTTGCTGACGAGGAATTATCAGGAATATGTGAGGGACAGACAGAAAAACAGCGTCGAGTTTAAGAAGAGAGTCAGACTGTCTTCGCAAAGGTCTTTGTCTCTTTTCAGGGCAAACAGTTCTGTAATACTGTGATGAATAAACGGCTACTCGCCATAACGCCATTCTGGATACTTACTGCACACCTGGATGTTTTTAATTAGTTCACCTAACAAGCAACAAGGTCCTCACAGCAAGAAGGTCGCTGGTTCGAGTTAAGGCTGGCTTATGTCGCATTTCTGTGTGGAGTTTGCATTTTCTCCACGCGTTTGCGTATGTTTCCTCCGGGTGCTCCGGTTTTCCCCAGTCCAAAGACATGCGGTACAGGTGAATTGAACAAACTAAATTGTCTGTAGTGTATGTGTGTGGATGGATGACCGGAAAGGCATCCGCTTCTTTGCGATGTGGCGACCGCTGATGAGAAAAAAGGACTAACCTTAAGGAAAATGAATGAATGAATGAATGAAGTTCTGTCATCATGTACTCCCTCTTTATTATTCCAAACCAATTTGAGTTTTTTGAGTCAATGGTTACCGTTTTCCAACATATTTTAAAATATCTTCTTTTGTGTTCAACGGAACAACTAAACAGAAATTGGTTTGGAATAAGACGAGGCTGAGTAAATGATGAAAGAATTCAATTCTTTGGAAGATCTATCCCTTTAAACATGGCAATTGTGTGGTTTTGTTGATTATTCGTTTACATTTACTTGACCAAAGCATATTTACTCAGACAAAACACAAAAACACTGATCAGATCACATATTACCCTGATGCATATTATTTGTAAATTATGTATGTAAATTATAATTTTTTTCTGCATGCTTATCTTGAGCAAATTATGTTTAATGAATGTGAGGTGATCGTATTGTATTCATAGTATAAATAAACATTATTACCTCAAATGATTGTGTTTGTTTGCAGGAATTTTTTGGATATTACCTTTAATGTTATAAGAATCTACACTACCGGTAAAAAGTTTGGGGTCATTTTTTTCATGTTTTTTTATTTTTATAAAATTATTCTTTTTATCAATTCAGCATTAATCAAATGTAAAAAAAAAAAAAAAAAAAAAAGTTAAAACTTGTTAATTAAATATTGATTTATTACTCATTGTATGTAGCTTCAAATTAAATTATTACTCCAGTCATTATTCCTTTTATTACTATTATTATATTAATATTAATAATAATAATTAATATTAGAGTGATTTATGAAGGATCATAGAAACATTTCACAATTTTACAAATTGTACTGTATTTTTGATGCAATAAATGCAGTCTTGGTGAGCAGAAGAAGCTTATTTTAAAACATTTAAAAATTCTACTCACACCAAATGTTTGACCGGTAGTGTACATTTGCATAAATCAAATAACAAAACAGTTATCATATTTTATTTTTATAACAACATTTAGGTTGCCACAGAAAAAGCTTCATGCAATATTCTGGAAACATTACTTCATGGTAGTAAAGTAAAGCTTTAAAAATATTAGGAACAAGTTGACTAACGTTTTGTGTTTGTGTGGGTACATTATTTTTCTTATAGACAAATGACTCACATGATCAGTGAAGGAGAATTTCTTTCAGGATTAATTGTGCATCCATGCATCAAAGATAAGATGTCCCATTTTGGTATCCGCATTAAATGAAATTGACTAAATTGCTATACAGTTGAAGACAGAATTATTAGCCCCCCTGAATTATTAACCCCAATTATTTCCCCTCATTTCCTGTTTAACGGAGAATTTTTTTTTCATGAACATAATAGTTTTTATAACTCATTTCTAATAACTAATTTATTTTATCTTTTCCATGATGATAGTAAATAATATTTGAATAGATATTTTTCAAGACACTTCTATACAGCTTAAAGTGGCATTTAAAGGCTTAAGGTTATTTAGGTTAACTAGGCAGGTTATTGTAATTAGGCAAGTTATTGTGTAACAATGGTTTGTTCTTTAGGCTATCGAACAAAAATATACATTAAAAGGACAAATAATGTTGACCTTAAATGTTTTTTGTTTAATTCTAGCCAAAATAAAACAAATAAGACTTTCTCCAGAAGAAAAAAATATTATCAGACATACTGTGAAAATGTTTTGAATATTTGTGAAAATTTGATAAATATTTAAAAAATAAAATAAAATTCAAAGGGGAGCTAATAATTCTGACTTCAACTGTACATACATATAAATCATGCATAAAATAAAATGCAAAAAATGTGTCTACTTTGTTGTTTCCAATAACTTTAGTGACGAAAAATTGGGTAAATAAGTGCAAAATAATATTCTTTTGTCATTCAGTGTAACAACATGGAAATCAAAACGTTTATTTTGTTTGTATTTGTATATTTTGAAATAAATAATAACCTTTAGAATGAGCAATCTTGCTTAATTTTGTTGTATTCTAAATTATTCAAAACATCTTGTTGACAAGTGGGTAAACAGCGGCTTGATGGACAGAGGGAAAGTATTCCAATTTACAAAGGACAATTTTTTAGTCATTTAGGGCTGCAGTGTAATCCTTTAATAAAATTAAAAAATTTTTACACTGAATGACACTTTTGTGCGTGTCCTGTAAGCCATCGTATCATATATATTTTTCTTTTTCAGCTTTAGACAAACAATAGGACATTCTAATGCTGAAAAATTGAGCTGCACTTTCAATGATATTTGTAAATTACACAGTATTTAACTGTAATAAAATGTATTTTACTGTAGAGCAGATACTGCAGTATCTTACTGTATTTTAAAGTTGTATTGTAAAATTACTGTGTATTTTAGACTAAAGATATACATAGAATTCTGTAAATACATTTACAGCAATTGTAAATGGTGCAGTTAATGTAAATACAGCATATTTGCTGTAATTGATTTACAGTAAATTACTGTAGATTCTACAGAAAATTGTTAACAGTGTGTATTACATTTTTATGCATGAAAACCTTTGAACCTTAAAATATATGCTCAGTTTATGTAGATTTTAGTAAAACGGTGGCGACGTTATCAAGAATAAGAAATACTAACAAGGTGTTTAACTGTTGAAAATGATGTGGAAAATGTGTGCAATTATAAACGATGAGGTAAATGTGCAATACAGCAACTGATATGCTTATCATTAAGTTTCTGTTTATTTAAAATCACACGTGACTTGTAATATAATTTTGTTTTGTATTTGTATATGCTGCTTTATTAAAGCCTAATTTCTATTTCTTTGTACTCAATTACAAACAACAAAAAGAAAATTATGTGCTTAAAGTGCTCATCATGATTTGTTTTCTCTGTTGAACACAAAAGAAGATATTCTGAAGAATGTTGAAAACCTGCAGCCATTGAAATATGAACACAAAAAATACTGTGTAGTTTTTTTCCCCAACATTCTTCAGAATATCTTCTTTTGTGTGCAACAGAAGAAAGAAGCTCAAACAGGTTTGGATCAAGAGGAGGACGAATTATCCCTTTAAATCCACATGGTGATGAATTTCCATAGCAGTGAATTCAGTATTTTATTCATGGCCTGAGTTTATGGTTGCTTAAGTGCTGAGCAGTGAGCCATGAAATCACTTTCAGCGGCTAATACACATTCACACCAGTAAACGAACGCTCAAAGTCACTTCAGGCTGTTTTTCATAAACACGTCAGGACATTGTTAAGCAGTTTCTTAGACACTGACTGACTCTCATTTACTGGGCTGTTCTTCCAAATCTTTTCTTGAATTATTTTAAAATGATAAAAGATGGTGTTGGTTTGAAATCAAATACTTTTTTTTCTGTTAAGGTATTGTTGTACACTGTGTGCTGGCTGTTCAATTGTATGTAGAAAAATTGAAACCCTCTATTTGGCTATACTATTATCTTGGCCTTCTCGACTCTCCTTCTGCTGTGCAATGGAATAATAAAGTCATGGCTACTGTTCAGGAAAGGTGCGCTGTCTTGTAGTTGTAAACAATTTACATCTCATACAAAATGATATATTGCATGCAGAAATGTTTGGCTTATACTTAGAGTGGCAGCAAATTGTAGAACTGACATCAACAGACTTAAATGTGTGGATTAAACTTTTTCAATAAAGACATTTAATCAAGTATTTTAAATCATACAGGAGAACTGTACATGTAAAATAAGGATATCATGAGGATATGATAAAAAAAACAATCAATACAATTCTCAAATTGACTTTATAATGAAGTAAATACACACAATTAATGTAATTAAATAATTTAGTGTTTGCAGGAATAAAGTTTTATGTTAGTGCTCAGTTTGTGCTTGTAGAAATTAGATCTTTAACTTTTGCTTGCTTGTATTGTTACTTTTACATTGATTATGTTTACATGGTTTTTCCAGTAGTTGCAGCTGGAAGGGCATCTGCTGCCTAAAACATATGCTGGATAAGTTGGCGGTTCATCCTGCTGTGGCAACCTCAGATTAATAAAAAGACTAAGCCGAAAAAAAAATGAATGAATGAATGTTTACATGGGCACCAATAAAACGATTAAGACCATACTCTGATTAAGAGTCTACCATGTAAACAGCAATTTTTGATTGATTTAGTCCGATTAAGTTCATAATCTAACTACTAAACAGAAATCGAATTAAGACATGAAGTTTACCAATTTTAGTCGCATTTTTGAAATGCAGTTCAAACATTAATCAAACACTTACTATAACCTAGGATTTTCGCCGCATTTACCAACAAAGTCAATACACACATGGCTGTTTGACACTATTCTCTGAACCTGAAGGACCACAGACACCTGCATCAGGAAATGCAGAGTTTTTTTTCCCCATATGGTGTGCATTATTCAGTTCCGTTTAAACAACACTCTTTTAGCAGTTCATACTCGCATCCAATATCTCGTTTGTCATGGGGGGCACGCATGAAATGTTCCTGAATAAAAGTGAAAGTGCCAAACTGCAAATTAAAAAAAAATGAAACACCCGAAATTACATGAAACTGCAAAGGAGATGTGTATAGCCTGGAGACGCAATGACGTTAATCGAATTAAGTGCTATGACATGCAAAACGGGATCATGAAAGCAACATTCAAAAAGCAACTCATCTAAACACTTAACTTATTGTTGTTTATTCAGATTTGTTTAATTACTGATGTCCATGTGAACGTAGTCACTGATTTTTTCAAGGATATATCAAAGTAAGAAAATTAAGTAATACCTACTCAACTTTCTGATAGTGATGTTCCCATCCTGTCCTGAGGCAACAATTTT